TAGAAAGCGAAGACCGAATTTTTAGAGATCCCTTCCAAGTGAAAGACGTCTCAAGTGGGAAATGACAGGAAATATATAAAAAGTACAAGGTAAATGTAGAAGCTTGACGTAAAACATTTTCCATTGGGACTGCTTTTTTTGATGGATACAACACGTCGAAAATGTATTTACTGAAACCTATAAATATAAATAACAGAAATGATTATTCATTATGCGTTTTTACAGGAACAAGCATCAAATAATTTCCTAAAAAAATCTCCTTAATGTTATTAACCTTCGATCTTTCTGTCAGGATCTTAACTCCTGCTTTTCACTTCTAGATTCAGATCGGAGGATATATTGGCAGAAAGTTACAAAGTAAAAAATGCTGCTATTCAGCAAAGTGAAATTTACAGGTCTCCAGAGAGTTCAGCGTAAATGTACCGTGCAACCTTTTCCTCCAATATTTTAAATTAAGGTTGAAAAAAAGATTTAGTTTAGTAAAACATAAAACGTTAAAATTTTTATTCAAATTCACTGTACCAAGTAGACCAAGTAGTGAGAACATGCAGATTGAGCAAACTGTACAATGCATGGTCTTAATTGTCGAAATAAAATTATTGAATATAAAAAATTGTGAGCTTATCACAGGCATCCAAGGTGCCTTACCTAATTAAAAATCCGATTGCATTTAGCACTGTAAATAGCACTTTTATCGTGAATAATCTGCTTTTTTCAAACTTTTGCGATGTGCCATTATTTGCCCCTTGTTTTGTCTCATCTCCGTGAAAATACATTTATTTACCCTTCATTCTAAGTATAAGGAGGATTTTCATGTTAGGACCGTTATCTGCAACATGCCATACTTTCGCACTTTGTCACAATCACTGAATTTCGGATTTATCTAAATTCTAGCTCACATTTTATTTCACTATAAAAGCATGTTTTTGTTTGCGAAACTTTATAAATGTGTACACTTTACGTAAACGCACATCAAAAAATAATTTTAACAGAATTATAATTAATTTATTATAATTATTTCCCTTTGAAAATTAAATTTTAGTCTGCGTGGAGGATAAATAATTTAGGAAATATATATTTAGCATTTTGGCAAATGAGTTAGTCGTTTTCTAATTAACTTTCTTTTCATTAGGGGGATATAGAATTGAAATTTCTAACGGTATAACGAGCTTCCGAATATCCTCCAATCTGTTTACAGAGTTCAAACGGGTGTTGATAAGAAATCAAACCACTGTAACATCCTTAAGTCGCTTATACTAAGTATTTTAGTGTAATAAAATATTTTTGTACTTATTTTCTAACGAGTAAAATTTGTCGTAAATTAACTCTTTATTCTATGGTTTTAAATGTCTTTTCACATTTCGCATGTTACATAAATTTAAAATTAAATTTCCTTTAGGCTTTCGACATAAATTACACACTGAAATTATCCTATAAATGTGATATAAACTTCTTAAATTAATATTCTGCATAGCAATTATTAATGTATTCGTTTGTTAAAAATGCTAAATGGTTGAACATCGAGCGAGACAAATTGTTAAGTACAATTTCATAATAAATTCAAGAACAAGTATTTTATCCTTTTGACATTTAATGGAAATATCCTTCCGTACAAATAAACAGTTTCAAACTAATTTAGATTTTGTAAACAATAGGTGCTACTGACTCAAAACACCGTTAGTTAAAACGGCGTAACGGCGTTGAGGATGAGTTCCATTTAATCAACAATTTCGGTTAAAAGTTCCAACAATTAATAAGAAACTTAAACTGAATTCGAATACAAAGTTCTCTAACCAGTATTTCATTCAAAGATAAATTCAATTATCATGTATACACATCTACCTCAACACATGTAAGGAAAATGTCGAGTAAATGACGTATTGCATATAATCGATTTGTCTAAGAACTTTTAACGTTTTTAGGGTGATTAAAAATGCTCAAGCAGAGCAAATAGTTTGGCTTTGCAGAATTAATTTTTCAATATAAGAATTACATAAATTGTTGATTACTGAGGTGATCGTACATACATACGAATTTCCATCTTGTTTATAATACGAGACTAGTAGGTATTTTTTGTGCTATATTTTTCTAAAAAATACTCGTATAATTGAATTAAAAAATATAAGTCAATTGAATTGATTCTAATAATTAATGTTTTCATATTTCGTTTTGTGATCATTAACAAAAAATCTACAGCAGGTGTGAGTGGTATGAAAAAATGGTTATACAGAAATTAAATTCGCAAAGAATATATAATGTAGGAAGTCCTAAATTCAAAATAAAAAATTTCGGAACGGCAGGAGAGTTAAATGCTAAATAAAACACATGTGTAGCATTATTTATACGTAAGGATCGTATGAAGCGAAAAACTCGATGAAATCGAGAAATGTAAAAAAATAATTTTCAGTAAACTGAGTTGATTCTGGGTTGAAATTGAGTCGACTGTTTGAGCAACATAAAAATGAAATTTGTTAATTCCGTAAAAAACAAGTGAAAAAATGAAATGAAAAGTAACTGTATACTTATAACCATAGAAGCATACATGAAATAGAACTCGAAGCAAATGAAGTTGCCATATAGGAAAAAGATTTTACTATTTTTTTTTAATTATTTGGTTTTTGTATAAGGTTTTTCTTGTTATTTTTTACATATTTTTTAACATTTCGATCTAGTAATAAACTGAAAGATTCTCTCTTATCCGAATTTCAAATTAGCTCTTTCTCATTCAAATATCTAGTAAATGTAACCAGTCCCTCTCCATGTTCTAGCAAATGTCCGAAATGTTTCCATATGGATTAAACCAGATGCCCAAACGATCCAAACAACGTGTCCTTGTTATAAGATTTAAATCATGCATTCCTGGTATTACACAGCTGCATATAAACGTTCTACCAGAAACAATTTCAACTTCTAGGGATTTAAGCAGACAATTTGGGACGAACAGTTTTAGAGGCAAACATAGCTCTCACTGCTAAAGAGGACAGAGAATAACATTTGTAATTGAAGGAAGTAATTATGTATAGAATTATGCAAAAGAACTGCACTAAGTGCATTTGCAACAAAAATGTCAACATTTTCAAACAACGTATATCCATTAGAATAAATTATTAAATTGGATTACTTATTCTACAAAAGCTCTTAAAATATCACTTAAAGTTACTAAAATATTTATATTGCAGGTATGTGTATTATGAGAGCACGTTATTTTATAGGCAATAATGTTGGATAAAATGAATCGGTAAAATTGAAGTTGGCAATCTAGATTGTTTGACCGGAATATTAACAGGTTTTCCTACAAACATCAAAAGCAGAAGTAACAGTTGTAAAATTCAGGACACTTTGAATTACGTTATTAAATTTGATATAGTTTACAACCAAATTATGAAATTAATATTAATTTTACATATTTGTCTTCATAACTAAAAAGGATGCGTTTTGTAGTTATTTAGGACCTCCATAGAATTTTTTTAGTCAATTGTTAATTAAGGTATGTCGAATTTGTATTATCAAAATATCTTGAAAATAATTTAATTTAATATCAACATGGTTGAAGTCAATTAATTGTTTGGAATGTAAATCAATCTGTATGTGATTGTAGCATGCTGCAACACGTTATTTCCAAATGTAATATTTCGCAATTTCACTAAAATAAATTTAATTATCTACGACAATACCTGATTTTAGCATTGTTTTAGATACTAAGTTATTTAACTGACAATATTTAGCAGGACAATTTAAACACTGGATGATTTAGAAACGATTTCTCTAAAAAATAAGTATTATAGACAATGTGTATTATTACTTTTAGATAAATCTCTACAATAAAAAAACCGATACATTTCAGAATATTAAAATATATATACACGTAACTGCCATAAAATATTAAGGCTGAAATTTTATTTCGAACATTGTAACCACCACATTCAACGGTGTATATAAAACCAAATTTCTTCTAAACACCTCCATTTAACTGCTCGCACTTCTAAATTCTCTCGCATAACAAGGAAATAAAATTCCTTACTCTCGTATAAAATACCAGCGTATAATATAATCTCGGAAAGACGCTACAGCTCGACGAATTTCAAGACTATCATTAACTAGAAAGCCCTACAGGATATCCAAGGGGAAACCTATAAAATTGATTAAGGAAATTTATTTAGGAAATATTCTTAATTTTTATAAACATTTGACACGTTTGACGAGGTCTATTTTAAAAGTTTTCTTTTGAAAAAGGTAAATTATATTAAATTATTATGTAATTAATATTAGAATACTGGAATCTTAAGTATACATTTTATTTGTAGTAGATTCGATTATTATTATCGAATATCGAGTATTATTCGAAGTAGAAAGAAGTACAAAGAATAAAAATTATACCTACAACTGCAACTGTACAACATGCTTAGAAGAAGACGAGGTTGCTTCTAATGTAGGTATCTTCTGTCATTTTCGGGTGTTAGTTTTTGATGAGTTTGATGACACATTCAACCTAAATTTATTTCGGATGAACACAGTTTTTCCATTCCCTTTGCGCAATTTCTGTCTATTGGAAATTGAAAATGGAACATATATTTTCGAAAAAAAAAGCAATTTCTGGTGCACGGAATTTGTTGCGGAATTACCGTTACGTATGTAATTGTTATTAAAACGATGTAGGTAGTATACTGTTTCCTATTTTTCACCTGAATAATGAAATTTCAAATTTCGGTTTGTAAGCGAAAATATTCTAACGAACGTTTTGTTGCTGAAATAATTAACGTTTGTATTTTGAATGTTATGCAACGACACGTGTGGCCGATGGAGGATTAATAATAATTGTTATGAGGGTTGTCAAAACCATTACTGTGTTATTTGTCAGTTTTATTTGTCGTACACGTCCAATACAATTTTCCACAAAATTTTTAAATGTTTTCTTATTTGTATTGTACATATCATTCTTATTTTCTTATTTATAATTAGATTCATTGGATTAATATTATAATTATTGCAATTTATTTCAGGGGGAGCCAAGTCAGTACGAAAAAGAGGGCATGTTCGAATGTCTGCCTTGTCCAGAAGGATGCGAATCATGTGAAGATGAGCGTCCCTGTGTTGTTACATTGAATTGGGTAATGCGGACAGTTATCCTAGTTCTTTCATGCGTCGTAATTTGCTGTTTACCCATTGTTGTATTTTTTACGTGGAAATATGGTAATGTGAAGGTAAGAACAATAAGATTATCGAATTATGAATTACTATTTCTCATTTACAAATACAGGGGATAAAGGGATATGCTTACTACAAATGGGGATGATTGTCTTAGCAAGAAATGTAAAATTAATGATTCTAAGTTGCGGTGTGTAACAATATACATTTGTGTCAGGCGCCTGCTTTCTTCTTGGTTACTATAAGTATATGTATATGTGGTAATTCTGTTGAGGCATATTAAAATTGGAAAAGATCTGATTTTTTTGCAAGTTCGAACATGTGATTTTTTCCACGAGAATTAAATTAATCCCTTTATTAAAGGGAATTTTGCGCAGGATAAAATTCAATGTACATACAATATTTTACTTTAAAGTATTGAATTCATTTGTATGATAAATAATTCTTCAATTTCTTCCAGGTTATTCGCGCGGCTAGTCCAGTGTTACTTAGAGTTATAGCTTTGGGTGCTTTCTTCATTTATAGCACGGTAAGATAAACCTAATCTACGTTTGATAACAATTCAGTAATATTTTTGGATTACTTACATACATACTATGTATATTATAATTATGTATCCTATAAACCATCTTTGTTAGGCTTATTTTTTTATAAAATACGTTCGGGTTACGAAACTTCTTTTTCCATCAACCCAAGGCTGTATTGTACTCTAATAAAAAAACTCCGGTTATTTTATATCTCACATTGGTTTAACCTCCTAAGATTTCTTGTAGACATAAAACCAACAAAAAAAACACAATTGTGTTGGGTGCTTACTCGCTTTGAGTCTAATAAGATTTCCTTTATAATGACAGCTTTATGTGTAAACGAAAATGGTGAAAAGTCTTATACCAGATGTCCTAGGGTTTAAAGTCGGTAAAAAGGAAATTGAAATTATTGTTGGAGAGGTTCACAATCAAAAATGTTTACATTTTAACATCATTTTAATAGCTCTAAATAAATAATTTTATTGTTTTTGTACGACATAGTTACACAGTATATTATTTAAAAAATGTAGTAGATGTTATTTATTAAAAAAGTATGGATATAGTTCAAATCATTAATTAAAATAACAGATTTTAGTACTTTCATCCGCCGAAATGAGCAGATACAAGTGGTAAAAAAAGAACTGAAACAACAGCGGATAGAAAAGTAAAAACGAAAATGAACTATCGACTGTTCGAAGTTTCGGAGTTTAATTGCTACAATTCAATGGTCTGAAGTTCTAAACGAAAATAAAAATATTTCATCTACACTTCCAACTGCAATTTAGTCGCAAACAAGAAAAAGCTTCGATGTTCGAAATGTAAACCGTTTTTTTTTATTTATTAGAAAAAAAAACGTCGTAATTGCAGTAATTTATTTTAATTGTTTTCCAGTAACGAGCAGAGACCGTTTCCAATAGAAAAATAAATCTGTTTTTTTTTACTTATAGTAGTTTAGTATTTTTATGAAAGATTGCGTTTTTTATTGCTTTACTTGTTAGATTGTTACTACCCTTAAATTTTGTTTTCCAGATGATCGTTATGTATCCAAAACCAACAATATATACTTGTACAGCTAGAATTTGGTTAAGAGAAATCGGCTTCTCCCTTACATACGGAGCTCTGATGCTGAAAACTTGGAGGTAAGCAAACAGACTTCTCATTCAACTTTACCCTTATTGTGTGAACGTACATAATTTCGGGCCTACCTTTGTACAAGAGAAGCTATCGGGGTTATAACTAATTATAATCCTCATTATAATTTTGAAAATGCAAATTATCCTATAATAAGGGAAGTAAAGTAATTAAACCGATATAAAGTTAAATAAACTTAGCTAACGGTTTTTGATTCGTTTCAACAAATTTCATAATAAGGATGGCGTTATTAGAAAAAATCATACAGCGTTTAATTGGAAAAATGACATTGGTATAGTAGATAATAATAAATATGAATTTCTGTCATCATTTCGAAGCAGGTAATGTATTATGTCGATGTTCCACAAGATACCTACTAAAACTTTTAAACCTACTTAAATTTCTTTTGTTGCAATTTATGAAGTTATATAATTTTAAAATTAGAAGAGTTATGACTTTCCTACTGCGAAACTTACGAACTTACAAAACGGTTGTAAAAAGTTCGTAGCAGTTAGAAATGAGAATATTTTTTTATGAAGTATTCCGAATATCATGGATTTTGATTAAAATTTGCCATTAGGAAAATTTATGAAACTTACTAATTTTGCGCAACAGCAAACAATATAGGAAAAATATGATTATAAATTTTACTTCATAGTGAATTAGATATAATAACGGTTTAAACCCCAATATATCAACATTTTATAGACCCTGGTGGTTTCAGAGGTTAGCGATATTATATTATGAAGCTATTAAAACTTTTATATCAATGAATGGAGACTGCTTTAAAACTTCTATTTTCTAGCTCTAGAGTCTTGACTCTAGAGAGTAATATTTCTTTACGTGAAACTATAAAGTCGTCAAATATGTTGGTGTGATTGTCATCCACTTAAACTTCCGTATGCTGAAAATGTCCTGGGCGTGCCGATTCCATATCCTAATGTCCTTAATGCTCATCTCTATGCCTTGATTCCGGTAAAGACAGACGCAGAATGTTCAGAAGGGTCGTAAAAACTAAACAAAATAAGAAGAATTAAGCGAATCGTTTTCCTTTGTTCCTAGATTTATAGGACGATATAAACTGTCATAAAAATCTTATATGCTAGAATATAGGTATCTAATTACTATTAAATTAATTGAATTGACCAGTGACCTAATTTAAGAAGATTAACTATAATCATAAATTACATATTTTTCATTTAAAATTTGATCTTACGTTATTAAATTACAGTAAGACGAGAATAAAAATGTTAAACGAACGAAAACCAGGTTAGCCGTAATCGTCTGGTTAATCTGTTCCAAATTTCCAAACTCACTTTAAGCTCGGAACAGGAATACCTTTGAATTTGGATCATAATTCAACCTTTCTCTGTAAATTAATATGTGCCTGCTCGTGACTACATACAGCATACAGGATAACTCAAATGCTCTACAAAGATATCGTTTGTGCAGGAAAATTAGAACGTTCATTGAATTTTACGGTACATATGAAAAATTGAAAATTAATGTTTGACAGCGGTTTTAAATTTCTCATTAAATTGACAAAACAGTTTTAGGTAGGTGCTATAATTAATATCGTATATATAAATCACAAACAATGTCATCCGTTTACCGAATGGCTATTATCTTTAAAAGAACATAATGACAGTAGTTTGGTGCTCTATTGCCCATTCAATTTTGTTCGTTTTAAGCCATTAAAATCAACATTAAATAGATCAGATTTTATGTAACGAAAACCCTAACTTATGAACTATTAAAACGACTATCAAAACTGATAGAATATTTATAACTAGGTATAAAACATCCTAGATAACTCTTAAAAAAGCTGTAAATATTCGCATTTTAAAATCTTTATTACTTTTTGCAGGATATCCGTTATATTTCGTGTCCGTTCTGCCAAAGCAGTCAAGATTACTGATACGAATCTGCTAAAGAGACTTGGCGTCATTTTGACTATTTTTACCGCTTTTCTCCTCATTCGCACTCTCGTCGCACCCCCTGTTGTCATCGTTGGACGAACCGCTGACGATCTCAAAGCTTATCTCTGCAAGACCGATTGGTGGGATCACTTGTTCTCCACATGTAAGTTTTTTTCTACTTTTGACCGAATCCTATTTTTTTCTGATATCAGTCAATAGAGCATATTCAAGGTAATTAGCTGTAGGTATAATGGAATCATTCTACTTCGTCACCATAAAGTCACAATATTTTTCTATATTTAACATGATTTTATAATGGACCTACCTGATTATAAAAATATCCGTGAAACAACAGTGTTATGTACGACTGTTGAAACTTTGAGACATTTACGTGGTGCTATCTTCATCTTTTATATTTTATTATTGAAGAATAGATCCATGAAATGCATTTAATTAAAATCTTTCTTGAATCAAAGTGAAATTTTCAATTGAACAAACCTCGTGCTTAATTACGACCTATGCATGCATCGAGCTGGAATTTTGATTACAAATTTACTGTATAACCGTGTAGAGTTTAGTGTGCGGTGATAACCGACACGTTCGTCCAATTGTAATCCTTCATTAGAGAAGATAAAAGATGAGCCGTAATTAAAGGTGGAAAATCGAACGTTCAATTTAGATGGAGTTCCGAATGTAATTGGCAACACTATGGCAAATTCGTTCCTGATTGATTTTCGTCAAACAAACTATCGGGATTAATCCATTCGGTAGTCAGCAATCTGCATCTTTATCAAATCGCCAACAGTGTAGTAACCCTAGACCGCAAACATCATGCATATTAATGTAAGAGTAACAAAGTTAAGTGTTCGATCTTTTCAATTTCTGCCTGTGAACGTAATCACGTAGTGGATGATGTATAACGCTAATTCGCTTTTGAAGTTGGGTATAGTTGAGGCCACAGCTCTTCTCTCGAACATGGCCGAATACCAAACGATAATAAGCCATCAACAAATTAGGATGAGTTTTGCATGGGCGTTGATTAATTTTTTTTTGTACGAGAAGGACTGATCGGAATATATTAATTTAAATTAATTAATTAACATCTTGTCTGGAAAATATCTAATTTATCTTTATAAAATTCATCAATTATACATAATATTCAATTCAACATTTAGCTCTTGAATCTGAATTTAATCCAATTAAGTATTGTTCAAGTTTCGTTTGTTTGATAAACTGTAGTCTCACCTACAATAGTTATCTGTGTTTAATAATCCAACAGGAACGCGATTGTAAATAGATATTCAGACGGTTTAATATTAAATTCCCATCCATAGAGCGAATGTGAATACGTATATTGTAAAGAGAATTATCATTGTATCAAAATTTGTAATGCTGCACTTTATGAGCCTCTTCAAATCAAATTTAAACTAATCAGATATTATTTGCCTTCGTAGTTTGAGCGGAATGATCGGATTAAAGATTATTACCTATTACGTGTTCCACAAAACAATGTATTTGCTAGGTATTCTGTCACATTAATTCAATTAATTTTCAATTATGTTAAATCGTTAATAGTTGATGCTTAAGTGAAAAGCTATTCCCAACCAACAACTAGTAAATTTTTAAACGCACTTACATCGGATACAGCTCGATTTATAAATTTGCTAATGTATAATTAGTTTGGTAGTAATGCTTTCACTAATTTCTATACATATGAGATGAATTAAAGTACCTAGTGGAGTATTTGCTAATTCAATATGCATCTATCTATTATGTGCTTATGTGCTTCATTCAAATTCCTGTTTATAACTAATTGTGGACATGTTGTATCGTAAGCGCTTCAATCATGAAAGACATATTGAGGATGTTTCTAATGTCCGAATTCAATCGGAAGGTAAGCAGTAATTTGTCGTTAGCATTAAATTACATCAATTATACTGGTTCTATCGTCAAACAGAATATATCAACCAATTATTGCGCAGTAACATGTAAAACTTATTGGCTAGGCACCCAACTTTCTAGTTTTAAAGGCTTCCTCTAACTAATTTCGATTAAACATATGTGAATAAATACACACGAAGATTCTAGATTAGGTAATCAAAAAAGGCCGTTTGCATCAATTTCAGCGTTATACACCTATGGAAACTCAAATACGATGAATCGTCAATAATTACTTTCCGTTTTAGCTGGTATGTTTTGCTTTGCTTAATTAGAAGTCCAAAACTTCAATCGCAATTCAAACTAATACATTAGCTAAGTGCACATTTTATTTATTTTTTTACTTTACATGGATAAACCAATAGACGTGTGTATTTCAATTAGTTTACAGTTGTGGTTATGCATTAGCTCAAAACATGTATTTGAATAAATTACATCAATTACTTAGTTATACCAAACAATTAATTAGTATATTAACTTTTTCTCGTACATATACCTAGATGTATAAATCAATAATACATACATATCCTGATGTAATTATCTATAGAATAAACAGGGAATAAATCAAATTCTGTATATATTGATTAGATATGTCTTAATTTGCATCCATTTCCAAATTGAATTGATTTTGTACATATACATGGATATATATAACTTTGCAGTTAAATGATTATCATTTCTGGCTTGATCGCTTGATTTTCATCAGTTGATTTACATTAGTGCACGAATTTTTATGGATTTAAACCGAAATGAGCAAATTCTGGAACATACATAAATAATTTAAACCCCACTAGCATGTATTCAATATAGCTTATAGTAAAGTAAAGTTTGCAATTAAATTTTTCGTTATTTAAATATAATATTAATTAAATTTCATTTAAAGGATCGAATAAAAAGATAATTTAAAATGAATAACTAATAAAATTCAAGATAAAAGTCACTGGAATGATGCTTTTCTATATTTTTAAAAAAGCATTTTTAACGAAACAAATATCAGGCAGTTTATAAATTTTATCTACATATGTATGTATGTATTATGTTCCCTTACTAATTTCGCAGTAGCTTTTAATTTTATAAAATTTAAAATTACTTTTGCAAAACAACAAATTTGACTTAACTTTTAATTGAATGTGTTTTGAAAATTTAAGCTGATGTACAATAGTTCAACCAAATAAAAAAACAGTTATTTTTCACACTATTACATAAAACATATTATACAGTGCATTTCTTTAATGCCCCCCTTTTATTTTCTGAATGGATCAACTAAGAAAATTAAAACTTGGGATAATGAAATTAATGCATGATTACTATATTTTGGAGTAAAATTGACAAATTAAAATTTCAAGATGGCGACTGTGTGCATGTCAATTTTACTCCAAAATATAGTAATCATGCATTAGTTTCATTATCCCAAATTTCAATCTTCTAAGTTGATCCGCTCAAAAAATAAAAGGGGGGGAAAGGGGACATTAAAGAAATGCACTGTATTATTTGAATTGAAGCAGTCACCAGCTTGAAAAATCAATGAATTGGAAATCAAAAAACTAAAGCTTTCTGTAACTTAGTAGATACCTAATGTTTGTGACAAAGTCAGAAAAAAAACTTGACAAAAAAGAGCGAGAAAGTGAAGAAATTTCCGTCCCTAAAGTTGGTGCAAAATTACTTTTAGTGGGAATTCTAAGTTTAAAAGTATATTGTAGGGAGATTAATTTGAATTTAAAATGAGGAAAACGGGAATCCATTCGTCATAAGGAGTAAATGACGAAAATAGAAACCAATCGTTCACTCTTATCAATGGATTCGGGTAATAAAAACTTTTACTTCGAATAATTTTTCTAACGTCAATCCGGTCTGGAAAGTTTTTAACGATATAATTTGAGTTTACCAACTATGTTCTATCATCGTAATCGCCAATTTTCTGCAGTTAGGAAATATGTAAGTTGTAAATAAAATTGTTTCCAAATAAATTGTTTGCTCAATAAACACGTTTACTTCGATGAAGATAACAGGAACAATTCAAGTTTTTAAGGGTGATAGACTAGTAAAAGATATATTTAAAGGGCGATGTAACATTAGAACTTGTTGCAATCCCTAATTACGCAATAAAACTTACTCTGGTTTAGAAAGAAGTAGTGACTGAAAAAAATCACACAATTAAAAAACATTTAAAGATTGCAACATATTAATTTTGTTTGTTATTACAACTAAACAATTACGTATGTTAATTAAAACCACATCTTAAGTAAATAAACACACAAAAGCTCTTCTAACTTGTGAGGCTTGTTTGTTCAATTTAATTAATTAGCTAGGTCTTAATTATCACGGATTTAAAGGAACACATAAACAGGACTTGTTTTTCCAAATACTAATTATTCAATAATTTAATTGTGATTTATACCCTGTAAACAATCATTAAATTTAAATCGGAATACATTAATTTTTTTTACGATTTTTTACAAAAAGGACCTAGTGAAGAGAAAATTAAACATAAAATTTAAATAAAAGGTTACAAAAATTGGCGAACCAATGAATAAAAAATAAACTGTTCAATACACATCCAATATCGGAAATTTTTTGCAAGTTTTTGTCGACATAAATTATCACTAGCAGAGAAATTTCCAGGGAATTTCATTTAACACCCTTAATCAACGCGGATCTACACAATCCCGCGCTAAAAAAGAAAAAAATGTGTTTTGCAGTTCAATTAATTTTGTCTATTTAAAACGAGACCTAACGTACCTCCTATCGTCTGGACTGATAAATAGAACCAACAGGGAAAAAAGAGAAGGAAAATAATCGACATGGAAAGCATTTCATCGATAACCAATTTAAATCCTAAACAATCCGGAAATTGCGAAAACGAGTTCGAAGAACCAGAAAATAAAAATTTGCTTATTTCTCTCGCTTCAAGAATTTTTACACGCGGCCATTATCCGGTATTAAAACTCCTGCATGAATAGTTTATCCGTTTTGAAAAAACATTTAGTAAACTCATAGAAAACTACATCATCCGTGTGATATTTCATATGCATTACTCAAAACACGTTAATTAAATACTATGTCGTTATAATGGAAGTAATCATCAAAAATAAAACCGTCAAAACTACTTAACAATTAAATTTAATTAACAGTGAATATATAAAGGTGACAATTTGCCCACTCTGTGGACTCCATTATTCACATTTGTAGTCAGTTACATACTTTATTCTATTGATAATAGTTCAAAATACAAGTGTCAGGATATGGTTAAATTCGAAAATGCTCGATATTCTAATTTAAAAAAATCCTATGTGATAATGTACTGTTGGTAATTCTTTGAGTATTAAATATAAATTTAACATTAATAGATACTATGTATTTTTAAATGTAGATTATCGGAACTTTTAAGAATGATCAATCATTTCCAGTCTACGACGTTGTTTGAAGAATACTAAAAAACCACTTCTGCGGAAGGATATTCCAAATATTTCTTTTCTTTTTTGAGTACACAGAAGTTTTTGAAATATCCGAAGTTTTCTCAGGAGTCATATATTTGATCGGCAAGTAGAATGGAATTGGATAACTATTTGTTCAATTCATTTGCCACATCTTGCTATTGGAAATAATGGAACTTTGGTAAATATATCGATATCTTTAAATAGAAACGGTTTGAGTTGCGATTGAGGTCGAATTCAACTGTCTGAAATATTACTTTATTACTCTCCTATACCTCATACACGGGGCTTTAATAACTAGATGGTTTCAATCAGTTTCATTCACTCCAGTTTTTAATCCCGCGCAAAATTAATAACATTGATGCTCAATGTTAATAGGAAATATATTTTAATAATCCCTGCAGCATAATTCAATTGAATGGAATGCCTCAGGTGGCCGTCGTGTTAGACAAGTAATTAGTGATATTTAATAGTACTTTCGAGAAAACCAATATAAGATTACCATGCTTCTACTTACTATCTCATTTTCTTTACTCCGCTGCGTTTGCCAGTAAACTGATAAGAAGATTTTAGAAATCTGCTTTAATCACTGTTGCGATGTAGCGCTAAGCTCAACGAGCTAAGAGTGATTATTCCTCTATCGAAGCAAACTATAATACCTACATAATAATCGACTTGAAATTCAATAATATTTGTTCAATATTATGTTCTTATGTTTCATGTATTTATTTAAATGTTCTGTAACCTAAATCACTTGCGACGTTTTATTTATTAAATAAGGACGAATGTAGAGCGTAAGAAAGTGTGATAATATAACAATATTGGCACAAATACAGTATTAATATATTTTATTGTTTCAGTGGAAGTTCTTTTTTTGGTATGGGGAATTAGATTATGCATTGTTGTGAGAAAAGCTCCTTCCGAGTTCAATGAAAGCCGATTTATCTCCATGGCAATTTACAACGAGTTCTTATTATCCGTTTTCCTGAATATATCGATGTAAGTAATTAAATCTATATCTATACTATTTTTATTATAAATTGCACGTTAAATATTATTGGATATTTACCAGTTACTCAAGTTATTCATCTTCTTTAAACAAAATTTTATTTTATTGTTTTGCAGAATTATGTTACTAATTATTTCAGTATTTTTTAATTAAATTTGATACTTATTTCTTTTTTTATATTAGTATATTATTTCTAACCGATAATCACAGATTTTATAAATCTCCAGCAAATCCGTGAAACAATTTCGTCGAAATAATAAAAGAGCTGTTTATTTTGTATATTTTCCCATTTAATAAGGAACGGTAAATTGCAAATTCCAGCTTTTAAAGAAATATTTCGAGAATCCTCAATTCGCTTCGTTAAAGGTCATATTGAATTTAGAATTAAGTAATTTAGTTTTTAATTTAATCAGAAACAAAAACATCCAGGTAAGTTCACCGCGGAAAATAAAAGAAGTTGATTTCATTTCAACCGCATAGGCAAATGCGAATGGAATTTTTAAAATAAATCTAAAGTTAATATTTTCGTCTCGGCAAAAATGCAATCGTTGAAAAAGGAATTAAAAATTTTGCTTTATTATTTTGTATATCTGATCGAAGAACGATCTATAAAATTATGTACTGATCATAATGTCAAGCATGCCAACATGCATAATAAGGTGGGTACAGACTAGTGAAACGTAACATGAAATGTATCATCGCGTACTTCTGTTTCCACCATTCAGCTATTACACGGCTTGTTACGTTTCACTAGTCTGTACCCACCTTTAGATGATTGAGAAATTAAATGCATCTTATCTTTTTATTTCAAGAATTTATTAGAGGATCACGTCAGCATAATATTACGATTAAATTTTATGACCTATCCTATCTACTGTCAACATGCAGCCAATTTCGCGTGATTTCCGTTTTACCCAACTTCTTTTTACTGATCCATTTAATCGTCTCAGGCAGTCTGTGTCAAACAGTTTTTATGAAGGCTGTAAACTTTTATACAATGAAACAGTTTTTCTTAAATTGATGAATTATATAAATGAGCAATGCCACACGACAATATAGATAAATAAAATTAAGTTGTTGTAGACATATCGAACTTTCTCCAGTTAACACAGCGTTGTTGGACTAATTGGTCGGGATGGTCGGAAATTATTATCTAAATTGATTAGGGAAGAATCAGTAAATTAGGACATTTTGGGTAATGTTCCAAATTATTTCGAATTCGGGAAAGTTTAACGACATACCTAATAGAACCAAAATAGGATCCGACGATAATTGTATCCTGAAGTTTCCTTTGAAACTGACAATCTAATGCGAAAAAATGAAATTAATTAAGTTTCTATTTAGTCAAATCTAACGATTTCTTTAGTTGCCTTAAAAGATTCACATCCAATCAATAATATTATTTAATTCAGTTCAGTCTTATCAGACACAAGAAAATAAAAAAATATTAAAAATTGAGAGAAATCTTTAGAATTTTATACCACTTTATTTTCTTAAATTTATTAAACGAAGAGTTCCAACTTTCTTTACTATCAACACCGGCGAGAAATTTCCCAGACAATTGCGATGGAATAAAAACGTTTATATGGAGTTTATGAGTTTACGCGTTCAAATATTAACATCTGCTATAAAAAATGAAGTATATATTTTGTGTGTTGTTTATGACGGTACATAAATGTTAGAAGCTGATGTTTTTTCTTAATATAAGACCTACATTTGAGAGAGGATTTTAGCCGGAGGGCCATTCTCTTGTTAAAACTACCAGAAAAATGTATAAAGAACCCTCTCAATCGAGGAAAAAAATACTTTTTAAACATTCGGTTTTGTTATACATTGCTTTTTCTAAGATATACCTATTGTATATAAATAAGTTTTTTTTTTTAAATTCGCTGCTTAATAATTTCTATGTTTACAAATTGTTATCAAAAGCAACCAGACACAGGGGTAATACCTACATCATGCTCCAGATTATTATATCGTAACTTTAACTACATTGAGATTATAGTGGCGGGTAAAATAATTAATAGGCTGATATTTGTAATAAAATCAAAAAAGAAGGTATGTACATACAAATTTTTCAGGAAGAACTTACTTAGGATTGAGTGAGGTAAAAATTTCATATACACATTTTCCCATACTCAGTTTTATACGAATCTAAATTTTAGTCGGATAATTCTGGACACTCGATGAAGGAAAAGCAGGATTTATGACATCATTTTGGATTTGTACAAAAAGATAACAAGGATTAATATTCATAAAAAGGGTAATACTGAGTTTAATGATAAGGTCGTTCTCACATATCCAGACAATTTTCTCTTGTCCTATTTTTCTTACACGCTTCTTTTCGCTAAAATACTAAGGTTTGATTTTTTCCGGTTTAAGTTTACGACAAACAATGCAATTTCCTATCTATTTTATTTCCTACGTATCTCTACTCTAAACTCAACTAAATGTAAAATGTTATGGGCTTCGAAATTACCTATAGGTATTATTTCCCTGTTAAAAATAGATAATCATAATCATTCTTAGAAACTGTTACAAGTGTTTAAAGTTTAAGTTAGAGCATCATTTAAAGAGCAAGGTAATAACTTTAATATTAATAAAGATGAGTATCTAGATATTAAAAGGAACTTGTAAGAACTTCTCCAGTTTCGAATAAGCTTAGAAATCCCTACAAAGCTTTTTGAATTTATGATATTATGTACTCTTATAGCTCCAAATAACTTTTGCAATTTATTAATATATTTAATTTAATATTTAATATATTTTGTGAAAGTTTTAATATAAGATGTAGCATAGGATAATTAAAATTTAATGAAAATTAATAAAATACAGTATAGGTAGGTCAGTCAATTTTCACGAGAATATAGGTACAGGAAAAGCATTTTTATTAATTGTGTATATTCCAAAGTAATTTAACATTTCATTCGAAATTACGTTTCTGCTAGAAATTGCTTTTGTGCAATTAATCCAAATTCGGATAAATTAATGAATGTATACCGGAACTATGCGATTTGAAATTCGATGATGATTAACAGAATTTACAAAGGAATTTTGATTGATATTATTTTGTAAAATATTTAGACAGTAATATTGCTATCCAACTACTTGTCATGAAATTCTTGTAATACTGGAATCCTTCGGCGTGATTATTGGCGATTAATGCAATTAACTCCGGAACACGGTAAAATATAACATCAACTATTATTCATCCTTATTGTAAATGCGAATCTGTTATAAAATCATATAGGGAGGCATTTTAAAGCTTTATATTACTAGCATATCAATGAATTTGATTATAAAAATAATTGGGAACATCCTCATTATAATATTATAAGCCTATATGATACTAAAGGATTATTAATCTTCACAAATCTGTAGGTATGTACGTATACGACTAATCTACGTAGATTAAATTTAAGCATCTTAAATTATATGTGTTTGCTAACACGTAGATTAGGTAACAACAGGGTTTGATTTCATCAAATCTAATTATTGTTATCATTAAGAGGAAACGTTATCCTCATTTCAAAAGTTGTTTATTCCAACCGGTACGAATTAAGCGACCCTTTGACGATCACAGACATGGAAAATTTCTTCATAATCCTTCTACAAAATTCGTTAACTTTAGTCCTGCTGGTACAATTAAATCTTCATATCAGAACCTCTCCGAGTAATACCTGATATCCGGTAAGGATTAAGAGAAATCTGTAGTCCTTGAAATGAGTTCTTCGATTTAGGACCAACTTCGAAACGAGTTTATTCTTGGAAAATCAAATCAAGTTTTAGTTAATGATTAACAGTAATTAGGAAGAAGTTCATCGCAACGATACGACATAATTTTAGCTCTGAAAATAATTATTTTTAAAAATGTCGTCTCTTTTAAATTCAAACATCATTTGACCTACATTAATTTGTGGATGATTAAGGAAGATAATAAGGCTTTGTGTGTTAATTACACCTCGTAAAGCACTCACTTTTATGTAACATTCCGTACATTGAACAATTATTAATGAATTATAACTAATATCTGAGCATGTTCACTTAACAAAATCTTTCACGCATGAGATTATATTCAGAGATATACCTCTCGACAAATAATCCATTCGTGTTCACCGCATGGTTCTTCGGTTCTTCGATTTTAATGTAACGGTTTCGATTCAATTGGTCCATTTGATTAGGCTTTAGTGTCCATTGTTAAACTACAAATAACAAATTTTACTGCGGCTATACGAGTATATGCTATTTTACTTACACACAATATGTTTAGTTATTGTAAAATTCCATTAAATTTCGATCCCAAAATCGCATTTAAGCGACCGAATAAAAACTATTTTGGTACGAAATCGCCGAATGGCAATTACTAGGGTTTTGTCAAATGAACAAATGTCGCAATTGAAAATTTCTACCTCCACTTGGCATTGTTATTGATGCGCTTACGTATAGAATTTTATCGAAATATTCATATAGCCTGTAACTGTAATAAAAATCTTGGTTTTGCGTGCCGTTGATAATTGCCTGGTAATTGATGCAATGAATTAAACGTTGATTGTGGTGCGCTTTGCATGCTGCGATTTTTAATTTAATCAGAATTAATGCATATTTTTATTCGATATTTTTTCTACCTTATGATTTTTAATTTTTTTATAACGAACGCACTTCGATATACCTGCATATTTTTTACTTATTAATATTTACTGGATTTTTAGTAGAAAATAAATACTTTTTAATGTTCTTGTAAAAAAATCTTATATAGAGTGCTTGTACGATATTTTTCATAACTCCTAGAGCTTTTCAATGGAAGTAATGAAGAGGATTTTTACACGGAAATCGATTCAATATAGTAGTATATACCTAAAGTTAATGTGTTTTATACATTTGGGAAAATATCTACCACAATAGTTTCGCGTCAACTTATTTTGAGATATACTATCTCTTTATGAACCGTGTGTAATTCGATTTCGAATGGAACTTGAAAAGTGTCAGTTCATTCCATTTCCTGTTGCAGAATGAATAGAATGAATCTTATTCTATAATGCATCAGTGCAGTATTTTCAAATTTTTTTTGAAAAATATTACAAATTTCTTATGCAGTTTTTGCTAAAATTACATTCAAAAGGAAGTTTTAATATAACATGTGTAATAAAAAATTGCTTAAGAATGCATGAACATTGCGACAAAGAATTTATTATGAACGTGCATACTATAAGTACTATATACAGCGCTTTTAAGAAGTTTCCTGATAAAATGCACTAGTGAAATTGGCAATAAATTTTAGTGTAGGCATTACTGAATATTAAATTCAGATCAGCGTAACTAACTACTTTTAGTATAAAAAGAAACTATTCATAGAAGACATTGTGTAGGGTTGTTATGAATAAGTTTTTGGTTTTTACTATAACTTTGATTATTGCACTTTACATATACAATAAGTAAATTGTATAAGTTGTAATTATAAGTGAACAAATTTCACTCAATTTTAGAAAATACAATCCACATTACCGTTTTTCAAATGCGAAGATAAAACGAAATACGCACAAAGAGAAGAGTTAGATAATATTTTGAAATATTGATATTCAATAAATTTAAGCTGTCATGTATCACGCAATTACCTTCATAGATTGTTTGTCACCTCGCAAAAGCGGCGAAAGCATCTGCAATTTCGATGGAATATTATCTGGCATTAAATGAACACGATGTGCAAGCAGCCTAAATCCATCAGAATTGTACTGTGGGATTGATGGATTAATGAATATTATAACGGGTGAATAAAAGAACAAATCCTCTACCTCCGCAATCGTATTTATAAATTAATCCACGTATCCACTTTGTTTTATTAAGATGCATTCGTAAAATTTGAAATTAAATATTATTTATTTATTTTTTAGGTTGTTCTTACAGAAACCTGCTAATCCAGATTTGATGTATATCATATTCTTCTGCCACACTCAGCTTACTGTTACTCTACTCCTATGCTTAATATTTGGTAGTAAGGTACGTATTTCCTGTAAAATTAATCAAGCACGTACAACATGACGTGAAGTAATTTTATTGCCCGAATAACTTCGAATTTTTTCCTTACATATTGGTTTTAATTTCAAATGATTCCTATTCTGACGCTTAAACATTTAAAATGTAAATCTCTTTAATTCAACCCTTTTCAAAGTCAGATAAGTGCCAAAATTGTACGGCCACAGTTTAGATAATTTTCACTAATCAAAAGAATGCTTTTAATTTATTTAAAAGTTAAGTTCAAAACTGGATAAAAGTCCGAAAAGTTAACAAAAAAAAAACATCACCTAAATGGTTATTTAATTAGAATAAAAAGCAACTTAGGAGAAATGTTTTCAGAAGATTTTGTAAATTAACATATATCGGTTTAAAAAAAATACAAGGTGTTGGTTTCAACGATAAGGCGTTAATTTGTGAATAATTTTGACCCAAAAACACCATGTATGTTCAAATTATTTAATCTATACAAAAATAATTGTACACTGTAAAAAATGGTTCACTTACTAGTGAACTTCGACGATGGTCAGATTATAACCCTATAAAATACAATGTTTATTTAAACCAAATGTTCAAAATGTCTGGTTGAGCTCAACGGTCCAGTTTTCCTTAACTCCCTAAATACCTACACGTTCTTAGAAAATTCCTCGAAAACAAAAATTGAGATTCCTAAGCATATTCCTAGTACGCAAGCATTTTTACAATATTCACATTAAATATCACTTTAAAAATCCAAAGGTAAACCGAGGTATTAACCGAGGTATTAACTATACCCAAAACCTAATCGATAATTTTTTGCTTAGAAAACACCTTGTATAAAAAACATTATTGTGATGTAATATTTACGAAACAAATTCCACTTTGAATATTACATAACACTATGTGGAGAACCTTTTGATCCTTAAATTGGCTCACTTATTTGACTTTTACGGGAACCGTCACTAACAAGTAATTAATTATTTTCTTATCGTCACAAAAATGTCAGAAAAACTCTACGTAATTATAAATTACCGGTCTTATCCTTTAATGTAAATACTTTCCTAACACTGCTTCATTTAATTAAACTCCAGTAACTTGTAAGATTTATTCTTACTGAGTGTTAGTTCTTTGCAACTACTTTTAAGTGCATCCGGCAATTTTAATTAAAGTTCAAAATTCAATTTTGTATTCGTCTAAAAATTGATTTATGTGCATTCTTTATGAGGAATTTATGACATTTTTTGTGAGGAAACAACGTTCTCAAATTCGACAAAGAGTTTTAGAAGTTATCAATATTTTAATTCAAACATGTCGAGGTGATTAAATGATGATTTAATATACTAAAATAAATAATAAAATATTTTGGGCTCATGAGCCCAAAATTCTCCAAAATAACTTTTTCAATGACTTTTTTACGACGTAATAAATTTCACTTTAGAATTCCATAATATAGTAGGTATAGGGATGTTTTATATAGTAAACGACTTTGAAACGAGAATATATTGAATATTGTTTTAAAGTGCTTTTTAAACATATAACATCTAAAGTACTAGAAGTTTACGGGTGAAATATTGATAGAGCAGATGTCCAAAGTTTATCCATTGTTTCATACGTACTTACTTTTTTGTTTCCAGGTGTTTATGGTTTTCAAAAGTAAAGGTCGCGCTGAAGAGAGTTCCATGGTCTCGAAAACGCCCTCATCTAAATTCATCACCAAACCTCGATCCGACAATCCCCAATACAGCACTAATTCTTCAACAGGAGGCGGAGCAATTGATTTCAGTTACGCAAAGTATAATGAGCAAGATGTTCAAGAAGAATTCCTCAGACTTTACACGCAACTGGAAGTATTGCGCGAAAGGAACATGAGAATGGGCAATCGACACTTAGCTTCGAAAATCATCGCCATGCAGGACGCGGCCAGATCACACGACAGCTCGATTCTGAACCAAATACAGAAATCCAGTTCCAGTCTTGGTTAGTTCGTGCATCTTGCATGCGTGTACTTATAATCCGAAACTTGTTACTTGTTTTAATTGGCTTGGCAAACTAGCCATCAGGCAAGGCGTTTAGAATATTAATGATACCCTATATTTTAGGTATAATAGCTGACACGACTTTGGAAAATGTATCACCTGTGAAAATTAAGCGACAGAGCGTTTCGTTCGCAGTAGAGCTGAAAGCTAGTGCTAATGGAGACACAGCAGATGTTAAAGTCGAGGATGTCGATAAAAAAGAAAACGAAAACGCAGAAAACGAAGCGAAACCCGACAATGACGAAACCAATGCATCGAGTTCTACATATCCGAATACTCCTGAAGTTAAAGTCAAAGACGGCAAATCCGGTAATGACACTAACGGTCGTTATCTAATGTCTGGACATGCCAGAACGCATTCGATCGTTATCAATCTAGATGATAAGAGTCGTTTTACCGATGAAATAACTGTGTAATATGTTTTTGAATTTACCATGTACCTGATGTGAAATAAAAGGTTGTATCTAGACCTAGGAAATGTAATTTGTTTTATTAACCACAAAATTTTACCAATTTTTGGTGTTTGAATGAGAATTATCGTAAAACAGTGTTATAATATAGGATTACGCTCTAGAAAGTAAGTAGATTTAGGAAATTATTCTGTAAATATAACTTTATTAAGCGTTGTAATCCATATTGATTTCTGCTTATTATTTGGAAATATTATTTTATTTTGATATAAATAAGGGTGTTCTCAAACCTATAGCACTAAATTCTGGGGGTGGTAGTTTGCATAATTTAAGAGAGATTCGCAGATTTCATTTTTCTAAAAAAATATACAAATAAAATAGAGCCATTAGAAATAAATGCAAAAAACTAATACGACCCTACCTGAATAGTCAGCTGATCAGAATTTTTACTCTAAAAACAGATACACGGTGTATTTATCAGCGAGCGCAAATTTCCCCCTCTGCCCTCCAGTATTCGAAAAACGTTACCGATACCAATTGTTTTCTAGTGCGAATTGTATTGTTTTGTTTATAACATCGGGGTTAAATAGATTTTTGTGATTAGCCTTTAGTGATTTATTTGATTGTTTTATTAATGTTGAATTATTAATAAACAATTACTATGAACTTCGCTAATTTTCAACAACAAAATATGAGAGCTAATATTTCTTTCGAGTTTATTTTCTTCTACTCGTACTGTTTGAAAATCTCGGTTTACTTTTATAGTTTATACATGATTCTAAAAATTTAGGGACCATATGAAATAAATAAATAATAAACAAAATTCAAATAAGATATTACTCTTAATTTATAAGTCGAATGATCGGTTTCAACCGATGTATAGGACCGCATTTCTTTGAAATATTTTTAATATTTCAAATTTTGTTTATTATAAATTTGATCAAAAAATAAAATCTGCGTGTCGCTCTTAAATTATGCAAACTACCAGACTTAGAATTTAGTGCCATAAGTTCGTGAACACCCTGTATGTAATTTAGGAATTGAACAACAGAATTTAGCAATAGTGAGCCAAGTTATTGTCCTTGCAAATAATGCATTCCTTTATTTTCAGGCTACATACAGGATATTTCACTTTATATAATTTATCCAAATTGTTTATTAATAAATTAAGTATACTTTTTTATCATCACGGTAGCCAACTCGGATAATAATTTTCTTCCTGACTCCCTCTCAATCAAAAACTGATAAGATAATGAAAATTAATTTGCAGAACTAACATTTGGGTAAATTTTTTGGCGAAAATTCATTTCTATGAGATGAATAAAAATGTATAGAAAATTTAAAAAGATGTAAATCAAAACATGCTACTATCAAGTATCATCAGCCATTTGAGCTCTGATTTAGTAGTGATGTTACTCACAATAATTGCGGCCCTTCGACATATTAATTAGTATATTAGGTCAATTTTACTGATATGAGAATTAGACTAATAAACAAAAAATCTAACAGAAATGTATAGGTAAGTAATAATTTCTATCCTTGTCTCAATTTACTAAAAACAATCTGTCAGTTCTACCAATCTTTGCGCAATATTCTAATGCCTATTTTGATCTAAGGATTGATTTACTCTTTAATTTATTAATATATTTTGTACGTAATTAATAAAGAAAAATTTACAACATAATAGTATATCATAGGTATATTTACACGCAGGCCAGAAGCTTATGATCTTTTCTATAAGTTATCGTATAGGTATCATCTTAATCATTTATTATTCTTATTCGGAATGATAATAATTGTTATTTACATATGTATATCTTAATTATAGCCCACAAATGGAAACTATGTTTACAAATATATTATAAAGAAATGCATTATTTTTAAGGACGCCTTGTAAATAAATACATATGTATTTCGAATAACATAATTTTCAAATGTAATTTATCCATTAATGATTTTTTATACATTTTTTTATCTTTCTAGTCAATTAAGTACTGTTGCAAAAAAGTAAAAAAAATGTTGGCAAGTAATTGGCAGTAAATATTGTTCCCGGTTAAGATTCGCTTTATATTTAATGCAAGTCTCGTCCTCTGTTGAAAGGAACTTGAACTTTTCTATCGATCTGGAACGAGGGCATCTCCATTTGGTTACTTCATAGCTTCATAGCCCTTCGATGGGATTATTTTGTTTGTACAAATATACATAGATGTCGAATGATATGCGATAAAATATGTAAATAAAACTAACAATTGTACACATATTTTTATTTCATTTTTATATTTTTTACAAACATAAATAGGAGTCTAAGTAAATGTAGATAGACATCTCTATTTATTCTAATGAATTTTAATCTAATATAAAGTGATTAGTTTCAACTCTGAGAAAATATTTCCTGTCATCCTTTCACACAATTACCCACGTGAATTCTGTCGATAATGCATTAAATAGCATTAGCAAGTTCAACAAACTATGCCCATGTAATACAGCTTAAAAGTGTGCCTATACTGTTGAAGTAACTTATACAGGTTTAATTAAGCTTATAAGTTACTAAACTCTTTTCTTTTACACAAAGTTAATCAGTTACTTGTGTTAAAACTTTTTCGATCTCTTTGGGTATTTCAATAACATTCCTGTGGTCCTTCTATATCAAAGGGCTTACACATTATGTAAATTACACAAAATATTGATCAATTTTGTTGTAGAATCTATCAAACAAAAATGTAGAAAACTGTAAAAATAACTATGAAATTAAAAAAATCAAGTAAAATCTGAATGGTATAACCAATTTTATAGCGTTTATTATTGAGTTACTCGGTTCTTCAGACTAATACGTTCGAAATTTAGAAATTTGAGTATTTTTTGAATACTAATATGTAATATAATAATAATACTATACTAAACTGAGTAACTGATTAACTAATTAACTAATAAATGTAAAAAACCAAGTGAAGAATGTGAAAAAGATGCATTTCTGTCATTCATCAAGTTCTTAGACAGAATAAAGGAAAAATGATCTTAGACAGAACATTCTACAATCTAATTTTACTTAGTGCTTTATTAAGTAACAACTTTTATGCAAACTACCTAGATTTTCAAAATTTGTTGCTTCACGTTACATTGCCCAGTTTCACGTTTTCCGAGTACCTACTACTACATTTCGATATTCTTTAAATATTTATACTTAGCTCATCGATCAAACTTTAGCTCATCTTACGCGATTCAATTTTTCATTTTACAAGAAACATTTCCATAGAGCAATCTAATCAATTATAATTTTTACACATATATAAAACAACTATCAAATGCGGTGCTTCAAAAATGAACATAGTTGATGAATTCGAAATTATGTTTATAATGATTGTTGTCAACAAAATGTAGAGTGAATAAGCTCGAAAAGTGTGAATATTTTTATTTTTAAGATTAAAATAATTCATAAATAAATACTTACCTATGTTATGTATCATTTGGCACAAGAAATTTGGTTAGCATAAAAAACTCGCTATAGAAATATTAATTTGTAATATCTAAATATTTTTGTTATCTATACTTAACTAATCATATGCAGATTATAAGACAATCATGATTTCCCGGACCTATTCAATTCTAAACATGACCAAACTGATTCTTATTAATTGCGAAATCACACGCTTTCTTCTTTAGATACTCCTCCATTTCAATTTTTCCCCATTATTTCATTCATACTAAATCATTTTCATTTTTGAAACACCTATTACGAGAAATATTTATATTGCACACTTATTACGATTAACACTGTAAATTTAGGAACATGAATCAGGTAGAATCTTGAAAACTTCAAAAATTCATAATTATAAATTATTAGTTTAAAGTACCTACTGATTATTTCGTTCTGAGTGTTTTACATTCAAAATCTCAATGGCCCTTTAAATTGAGTTTTAGCATTTATAGAAAATGTATAATAGTTACTGAAATTGAGACAAGTGTGTGGTACACCGTTCCATATTATTGCGGGTTGAGTTATTAAACTATACCACAGCTGTTACCACATTTCATTCGTATCTAGACGTTATTAGTTTCGTACCCTTATAGTCGCTTTAAAGGTGATATTTCTAAATGTCGATAAATTAAGAAAATCGAATATGTAGGTAAGTTATAAATTATTGAAGTTTTCAAATATATACTGTTTCATTGCATGAACATTGCACATAAATTATTTGAATGGCAATAAAACAGTCATTAAAAATCTAAAAATATAACAAATTATTGTAATATAAAATGTGGGTATTACAACATTGAATAACAGATATAACAATTGAGCTATTAGGAATATAATGTAACAAAAGAATATAACAAATTATAAATATATCAACAAATTACATTAATAGGAACAACTACTAATTGAGAAGGTTAATTAACATTAATACATTACAACAATGAGCACATTGAGATCATTGGAAAAGTAAGAAACCAGTGATCAAACTTGAAAGTGAAGAACAAGAAGAAAATTTTAATTCAAAGTGAAGAATTCTGTTTTTTAAATAACACAACTTTCCTAATTTTTATAAATATACTTAGTTGCTGAATTTATTTTTCCGATCTTCATATTTTCTCTCCATTCAATACCCTTTCAACATTTCTCAATCCAACTCAATCCAATAAAGTTATAATTAGGCCAATTTAAGCTGGGTTATTTAAAATCTAGAATTTGATTTACCCATAGTTTCTTATTGAATTGAAATTACAGGCATTAGAAAAATATAAGCAAAAGTACAGCCATCTGTATAATTTTTTCACTATACATTTAACCACAAACACAACAATTTCGAATTGAAATAATTATTATCATTTCAGCAGGTAAGTAATAGGTAAAATTTTTTAACACATATATAGAACATCAATATGTTAAATATTTATCGGTAACTTCACATTCATTGCAGCAAATATCTTATAGATTGTTTCGTGTTATAATTAGTTTTGTACTATTCTATCCTTCAGTCAATAACTATCTGATCCATTCCAATAGAACACTTATACGCTCTTTTATATGCCTAAAGCAAATTACGTCCTAGAAGTTTACCTATGCAATTTTAATCTATCGACCTCGTTAAATTGCGTGCGAAGTCGTTATAAAACTCTCGATATTCAGTGGAGTAGTTTGTCGAAGTTCTGACATCACTTCTGAGTGAGAAATAATGATTCTGTCGCCATTTCTCTTTTAATACACAGCGAAAATGAAGAATAATGATTTAGAATAGTTCCATTTCAGGAAGTATGGATCCTTCTATTCCAGATTCTAAATTTCAGGTCATAGATCAGTAAGATTATCAGTAGAAGATCAGTAGAAGATCAGTAAGATTAGTAATTATTTTCGCAAAAAATTGATGTATAAGTGACGAATGATTTTATCACGACTAAGTAGATTTTGATAGTAAAAATACTAATATTAACACCCAACAATACGATTGAGAACAGAGAATTGTCTTCATGGCCTCCCTCCTCGTAGAGTCTTTAGACATATACAGTTACAAAATCTTAAGTAAGTACATTTATAAAAGTTCTGGATACTTGAAAATTTATTAAAATTTGAAAGTGTACCTAGAATTCATTGACATTATCATTGAATTTGGCCTAATACCTTTGTTCCAATGATATTTAGTATTTATCCAAAAATGGTATCCAAAAGGTAAAAGCCATCAATCGGCAAAAAATTCATCCAACGAACGTAGTATACTAACAATTTTAATAATTTTTTTATGCAAAATCATGAGACATTGTGAATCCGTGAGAATATTCTTCTAAGTGCTTAAAAATAACTAAATTTGTTTAAATTCGTTATTTAAACTTAAATAAACGTAACAAAAAGATCCATCGACTATGCATTGTATCCAGCGATTTTTACTATCTATGTGATTCTTAAATTTATAACTACTTTTAAAAACAATTGAAGCGTAAACATTTTTATCACAAGTTGCACAATTATATTAATAATCAATTGTCTTTTTCTTAAATAAATATCGTTTTTATTAATTTTGATAAGTTATAAAATAAAGAAGCGCAGGATTAGAATGGAACTAGCACTTTTAAATACAGAGAATATAAGAAATTGTTGAAACAAAAATGAAATATGAGCTTCAGTTCCATTTTCGCCCGGTTACATCATTACAAAATCGTTTTCTCTAGATTTCTATAACACCAACATTAACAGCTAATATAATAGGAATGATATGTTTTTAATACAAAATATGGGGTACATCCTAAAACAGTAATTTAATTAGCTGATAGTTTATTTAAAAATATTTTCTTGTACATATCTGTTTAATTACAACATTTTACGGAAGCACAGTTTTATCTTAATTTCTAAACGTAGTTTATGCATGAAGCCTTTTCTTTTACACTAAAAAAATATCTATTTGAAATGAAAATAAAATTAATAGGTTTTTTTGCTTAATTTTTTATATAAATTCAATTAAAAAAATTTAGGTATGTCTACAAAATTGTATCTCTTATGCCGAAACAATAATAATAAAATTCGTAGGGAAAGTTTCGATTTAACTTTTTTAAACTTTACCGTTTCTTTTTACCTACAGGCTGATTAAATTTAATTTAGCTTAACTTATAATTTTTAGTTCTTCGATATTTACATTTCAGTAACTTTATAATTACGAATCTCAAGAAATATTAAATGTGATGATAGGCTGTTTATAATATTTTTAACGTGCCCTGAGTTTTTGGACTAATTGACAAAATCCAAGTGCAGGAAACATTCGAACCGTTTACGACTTATTTTATTTATAATGCACAAAATATTTTTATTAATGATCTAATTTTACACAGTGAGCGGGAAAATCGTTTGAATTGATAAATAAATCAAGTCTTTCAGAATGATTTCATAAAAGGTCGAAAGTTGATTTTTCACTTCATCAATTTAAAAGGAGTTTATTCATAATTTTTGTTGCTCACCGTATCGAAGAAGATTTTTCACTGTTACTCGATAAGTTACTTTTTAGGATATATCCCAAATCTAACATGTTAAAGCTAAATTTTGAGTTTTACTAATTTCAATATATTTAGATACTATCAACCGAAGTACTAGAACGAAATATTTTTTTTTTTAGATTTTTAGTATTTCTATGCTATAGATAATTTATAGTTTCAACGGGGGCAGAACACCGGTGTTACTAGAAGATTAAAATTATTTTAAATTAAATATAGTTTCAAAATATAGAAAAATTGAAACACAGATATACAATATACCCTGTAGAATTAGCTATCAGTAAATTTAAAATTTTAATCTTCTTGTAGACTTGGAATAAACACAACACGTATTATATCATCGTAATATACCTACATTAGATAAATAATATCCTAAAAATAGACAACATAATTTAATTACAGATTTAAATAATCAAAACCGATTGTTAAAATGGCATTCATTGTCTGATAACGGTTTTAATTATTAATTCTATAGTCACTCTTTTACTAAAATTTCGAAGATAATATAAAAAATTAAACTAAAATATCACAACATATTTAACATATGCCCTCATCAGTCTGCTTCAATCGAATTGAATTGAATATTTTTGAGAGCATATGTAATAAAAAGTAATCTTGAGTTAATACAAAATAAAACTCCGAATGCCTCAAATAAAAAGAACGATTATTATGTCATTTGCAATATATCTCTTTCCGCGTATTTCATTTCTTCAATATAATATGTCTCCTTAATTGACCAAGTATTGACATCTTTAAAACATAACAAATAAATCGCATTCAGACTTTGGAATACATTAGAGCCGTAAGCCAGTGCAAAGGTCGGTGGTTTATTATATCAGGATCTTCGGTAATTTTTTAGAGAGATTTAAATATGAACGTCAGCCACAGTAGGTACAGCTTGTCCGGTATCAGGAGGGTCCTGCAAAAATCAATTCGAACATCAGAAAAAAATATTCACATAATATGGAAATTTCAAATCCTGAATTTCTTATAAATTGAAATTGATTTTTTTGCATTCGTCGCCCAAAAATCAAACTGCGAGGAAATCTCCAACTCCAGATGCTCAATTCTATTTGTAACACAGATAGAACTGGTTTTGTCAGAAATAATTAATTACTACAAATCCGTTGTCGTTGGAAACTAAAAAAGAACATGCAGAGAGCAAAACACCGTGTAACTCTGCATGCGAGTTTCGTTGTCTTAAGCAAACGTAGTTTCATGTTAATGAACGTCTTATGATTAACCATGCAAAACGGAATTCGTTATGTGTACATACGTACACAGCTTTTGTAAATGATTGATTCCCACGTTACCTCAAAAAGGGTGTAATCCATATATTGCATTATTGTGTTAATAAAAAACAAAATCCTGTAGATAAAAGTAACTAATATAATGCAGCAACTTAAAATGTGGCCACAAGGAAATTCAGCGCCTCACTTTAACTTTAGCGTGACTTTAAAGTCGCACCTCGAGTCCCTAGTTACTCCATAACAACAATGTAAAACTGTCAAGTTAAAGACGCGACTTTAGAGTCACTCTAAAGTTAAAGTGAGGCGCTGAATACGGGCCAATGTATTTAGCATTCTATTGTTATGGTGAATAATTTATCGTCACTATTTGCACACCAAAAACTCCAATATACATCAATACTTCATGCAGTTAAAAATATTAACTGCATGAAATATTTTAGTTCCATTCATAGGTATACTGGCCGTGTGTAGGCCTATTAAAGTTTAGAACTGTTTCGATTTTTTGGCACTATTCAAACTATTCAAACTTACATCAGTCGAGGGCCTTCCCTATAGCAGAGCTATGCTGTCCAGTGGTTCAGCGTTTGTTCCACTGCATGATGTTCTTGATGGCGTGTTGGGAGTATTGTTTGTAGTGGTGGTAGTAGTAGTTGTAGTAGTAGTTGCAGTATTTCCGCCAATACGTTGCATTAAAATGGTTTCGGTTCCGTCAGAGCTCACTGTGAAAACAATAGGAAACAAATAGTTTCGTTTTCGTAATTTAGTCTCTCAATAAAACAATGGCGCATAAAACAATTTTCCAAAGATATAGTCGTATTCAATTCAGACCAGTATAGAGAATAGATATGAGAATCTTAAAAAGTATAATAAATTGATTTGCATTACGAGGTTCTTTACTTCTTTCGTACATTTATTCTGGTACATTAATTTCGCGTAAGAAATTTTGTACCATAAAATATGTAATACGACATCCCGGTTTCTTTCGTCTACGAGCCGTCTTTTCCTGTAAATCCGACTGAATCCTTTTCGTTTTGTCACGATCTTCGAGACAAAATTATTTGACCTCGTAAGTACATATACTGTAGTCCTCGTCAGATCGAATTTAATTTATCAAAGTTCCTTCTTGTAAAAAGAAAATATTTTGAAAGCGACGTACATAAGTCGGATTTACTTATTATAGGAGTAGATATTTTCAATTAATCATGGTAGCCACGCGATTTTGTTCTCGTGAAGCTATTATAATATATCAAAATACATAAGTAGCTGTATTTAAATTAATTGCATCTACATATAAAATTTTTCTCAGAGACAATTTTCAATGTAGCGAACGAAAGAGGCGAGCATAAATATGATAAAACTTCACTTCAAATAATAACTTTAGAAAGTATTGCGACGTTTTATTCGAGTTGAAACAATAATAAAATACGTTACTTACGTTTTTGAGTAGCAGTAGAGGGAGCGGGAGCGTAAGAGGATGGTGGAGCAGAACTTGAATTGTATTTCTTGTAAGCAGCGCTGTTCATAGTCAATTTACGGACGTTTTTATCTGGATGAAGTACGATAATGTATACTTTTGGTGAATAAAGACAAACCAGAGCGACAGTAGCATTCATGCTAGTGGCAACACATAAAGTAGTAAGCTGAGTCTGGAACAAAACAATTATAAAAAAATCAATACGGTAATTATTGTTTTTGCTGCAAAATTTTTTTGAAGCAGGTCTTATAGAACAAGATTAATCCCATTTTGCGCTAAAATTAAGGATTGGCACAGTAGATCTGTCCCATTTTATCTGAAAGCCCTTTTCTTTAAAGAATGAATGGTGATCTCGGTATTATTGTGGTTGACGGCCTGAGCCACTGCATCCCGGTTTAAGGATCCACTAATCAGTTTTTGGGGATATTTGTTATCCGTTACGGCCTAACCTGAAATAGAACCTTCCGGTTCGATCAACAAGTAAGCCAACACAATTTCGAATTATCCTTAACAGAAAAAAAATAAATAAGAAAATGTCGACGAAAGGTTTAGGTTTTGAAAACGATCACTAAACAGATATTGTATAAGGTAAATATTAATATTAATCGATATCAATTGTTAGAACGTATTGACAAAATGCATTACATTTATTTGGAAATTTTTATTCGTACCATTTATATAGGTACTTACTTTATTCACTGTACATTCGGTATATATTCAATTCTATTTCTTTATACGAATCGTGTTTCAAAGAAACCTATTTTTATCGTATTCAAATTTATCATATGCATTGCATTTTTATGTATGTGCTAATAAGGAGCTTATTTCCAATCCGAGAAATTTCCCATCAAACAAGTGTTCACGAGCGCTACACCTATATCTCGAATCCTATTCATAAATATTAAATTCCGCGTAAATTCCGTCGTTATTTAAAATCTCAGTAAAACGGCGGCGACAACAAAATGATACGGATATTCGAAATTCTAATAGCAAGAAACGAAGTCGTTGAATTAAAAAAAAATTCTTCAAGAGATTCCCGCTTTTGTGAAATTTGCATTTTTCAAAATAATTGTCGTTTCATTGAAATGAATTCGAAAGTATGTATACACACATATTTAATAACGTACAATTCAGAATGTTACGAATGCATTTTTGATTTCGTTTGTTAAAATTGAGTTGACATCGTTATTGGGTATTATATTCATATTACGGTATTTCGCTGTTATTAAATTTTATATTGCACTAGTGTGGAGATTTTAAGGTGAATTTTATTTTTATTGCAAAACATTAACAACATTGTTACGAATGTTTAGAACGTAAAGCGTAAAATAGTATCATTTTAACATTTATAGAATTGTACACAACTTGATATTTTGCTAAATAGCTCAATCAATTAAATTTAGCACAATAAAATAATTGTTGGGTTTACAAATAACTTCTCTCTTACATTACTGTTTATATAACCATTTATTACAAAACTTTTGTACCTCTTACTATGCCTAATAAATTCATTTTTAGAGAACTGTTTAATTAACTCGCAAAATTAAAAGCAATCTAAACGGAATCGAATTACACAATTAATGAATCCCGGTAATAGAAATTCTTCCAATTTTCTCGAACAATTATCTTCGTAATGGGAAAAATCTTGAAATTAATAAAAGTTTAGTATAATTGATTACATTGTAGAGAGAAGATTAATTGAATTAAGTACAATTCTGAAATTAAACGAAAAACTATAAAAAATTCTTACTCTCGTGTACCTAAGACAATAAATCCTTAGTGTATCTAATATTGACTTAGAGCAAAACTTTTACCAAAGTGAATCGAAGTTTGCAGCAAATTTTTAATAAAACGTTTTCTATTTTCAGTTATACCCTATAAAAACCTATAAAATTAAATAAATTAAAAAAAATCTTACCTCATAGGCGTTTCCAGTGCCGAAGTAAATGGGAATGAAAGCCAACCAAATGATACAAGTGGTGTACATTGTGAAGCCGATGAATTTCGATTCATTGAAGTTTTCTGGGATTTTGCGGGTTTTAACAGCGTACACTGTGCAAGTAGTAATCAGAACCATATTGTATAGCTGGCTGAATAAAAATGACATGTCCTGGATTTTGCATTTCAGAATAACCTAGAAAAAAATTTAACATGGAATGCTATTAGGATGCCACGGGAATGTAACAAAGAATATGGTAAAATGTTTAATTTTATTAAAAAAGTTTTTATTCAAATTTCGCTGTTACAGAACAAAGGACTATACGATGAACTGATTGACTCCTTAATTGTCATGCTACCTATTAAGGAAAAACTCGGGAACAACTAATTTAATATATTGGCGCGAAGAGATCGATATTTAATAAAACATTTCATTTGAGTCGCGGAGGTGGGTGAGATTCGTCGGATTCGCGCCGATGACATCGTAAATAATAACAGAAGTTTCGTTTGCTTCTTGTGTCTCCTTTAACCAATATTTATCACTTATTAACAGAAGTTTTTGATTTATTAGAATTAAGAATTGTCTTGTAATTTCTTCGACATTGTAAGAACAAATATTTTTTATAGAGAAATATGATTAAACTTCAATTCAAACTATGAATAAAACAGGAAAATTTAGGCTTCACGTTTTGACTTGAGTTCCTGTTTGCAATTTATGATTTTTTAAAGAAATTGGTAAACACGCGAGCGAAGAGCATCTATCAAAACTAGTAACGGTGCAAAAAATGTCGAATAAATATTTGCTTTTAGGGTATAGAGCGGTATGAACATGGATTTTGACAGAAAAAACTCATAACTTTTAAAACACGCAATATAGATCTAGCAAACTTTAGTTTGGATATTTAGGAAAATCGTCATCGAGTACGTAATAAAACTGCAGTATTTTTTGCCAAAATCTGCTAAAACCTGGCAATTTTAATAAATTTCCAATAAGCTTCTAGAAAACACTGTTTTAAGATAAAAATTTTTATCATTAGACAAATTATTAAAACTAAACAATAAGTATTTCATATAAATTATAAAATAAACTATTAAAACTTATGTAAATTGAGTTGAACTTCATTAGAATTGGGCTTGCATAATCTCCATAAGTAAAGCAGTTTTTTAATCCTAATAGAAATTTGTCATGTGTATAAATTTTAACTAAAAGTAAATCAATTCAAGAAAGCTTATTTAGTCAAATTATATTGATAGTAAAATAAACTTAAATGCTTGTGACAAAAATTTAAAACATTTTGTAGAAATCTATAAACTAATAATAAATTGTAGTTTTACTTACCTGGTTTCTGGTAGGGTAATGGAATCTGGTGCCCGGTGGTTCAACAATCATCCAAACCAGAGTGAGAATAATTTGAACAGATATTAAAGAACAAGTGATGATGACTTGAGATTTGGGGCTGATGTAGCTTGGTCGTTGAGCGGATTTGGAAGCAGAATCGAAAATACGGGAAATCCGATTAGTTTTAGTAAGGAGTGCACCATATATAATGGAGAATCCAACACCGACGCCAAATCTTTGAGTGATGCAAATTTCTGTTGTTGGCTTAGCCAGAAGAGCAAAAGTATTTAGGTAGCACAAGAGAATACCGAAGAGCAGCATATAACTCAGTTCCCTGCCGGACGCACGGACTAACGGAGTATCATTGTGTTTGACGAAAAGGATAATAACAGCAAAAGTGACTAGAATTCCTAGGCAAGAGAACGCTGCTGGCACGAAAGCGTAGGGAGTGTTCCAGCGCATATACTGCAATTCGAGTGCATAGCAAGATAATTTGTCTTCATAAGGCCAGTATCCCGGTCCGCAATCTTTACATGTGAACTCATCGTACACAAACTCATAGTCCTCGCATTTATCACATATCCAGCAGCATGTATCTCCCTGCAACAAATGGCGCGTTTTATAAAATAAAGTGCTTAAATTCCGTTCGCCCATATCGTAAGCAGATTAAAATTTACGAAAATGGACGGGAATTCTTTGAGTCAGAAAATGTCGAAATACCTACATTATAAATAAATCGAATTTCAATATTCGGAACTATTTTTATTATCAACCAACAAGATTTACGTTCCTATTTCCTTAAGGAACTAGCGATGTGAAGTAAGGAAATTCGAATATGTGAAATTTATGAATAAAATCTGCAGCAAAAGTGCGATAAACGATATTCAATAGAAAATACCACGAATAATATTCAGGATCACTACACAAGTTTTATTTGCGTTTAAAGCACCATACATTTCAAATTGACTTGCCAATACACGCTCTAATATTATTATTTACCGGTAATTGCTTGGCAATTATAATGCAACGTGTACCTACTTACTTGTTGTTTCTTTATCATTCCCGGATCGCATGGTAAGGAGCACGCGGATGTTGGCACAAAAGTAGCATTGTTCTCGAATACAAGGTTGTTGGGATTGAGCTGAAGAGAGTTGAACCATTTTCCCACGTTCTGAAACAAATTAAAAAATGTTGGTATATTTTTAATTTTCCTGTTAATTTAGGCAATATTAGAGCACAAGTGCTTTGATTAACTCCAGAGTGCAGTATTAATTGCTCTGTGTATGTTACTTCCGTAATTTCAGTATGTCTAAAATTTAAATTAGAAACTACATCATCCTAATTAAACGCTTCTGTAGGTTATAAAATAAGGGAAATAATAAATAAATATTGCATTGTTATTCTTATCGTTTGGGTAGCATTATTGGGTATACTATTAATATTATAACGTAAATTATTTTGCGATAATCGTGTATGCATAATGTATGGAGGGAGTTTCCCTTCGGCGGTCATCCTGGCATGTTCATGTAAACAAGCAGATAAATTTGAGCGAACGTGCTACTATGCGAAATTCTAATAACGAAGTGTCCTTCAGATTGATTGCCAGATTGTTGTGCAAATAAACAAAGCCCGCAAGAGTTTCTCTTTGAGGTCCTTTACACTTAGACTCGAAGCATAATTAGAGAATCACGTCGTCATTTAAGCAATAAGATCATCAGTTTCGTGAAAAAGAAAAAACAAAGGATACCTCAAAAAGTCGGCCTAATTTCTTTATTACATAAAAAACTTTGCTGAAACTTTCTTTGAGAAAACACGAAACAGACTGACTTTATAAAAATTAATTAATATTTTTATATTCAGAGGAAATCTTGTTACAAGCCTTCCTGAATTCCTTAGAGAATTGGGGACAGCAACTAAACTCACAGTAATAGTAGAAAGTTAAAATTGAATCAGAATTTCAATAAAGAAGTTAGGCCCGGCTATTTCGAATTTTGTTCACAACTCCTGATTCAGCGTTAAAGAACAAGCCGGAATACATATTTTCGAATCAAGGTAAACAAATAAATTTCCAAACTTTCGGTACGTACATTAAAAACTTCGTAGAATGACCCGATTTCCTGAATCCAGCTAAATCGATTTACTTAGAGAACCCCGGATAAGAATTGACACACAATCAAACAACGTTTAGCTTTAAAATGCACCACAATTACTTATTTTACAGATCAAAGTCACTGAGATAACTTCTTGAAAAGCGAATAATTTAAACCAGAGCAGACAATAGAAAATAACTTTTTTCAATTCCGATAATGTTATTTAAATATCAAATTATAATCTAAATTGTGGTGGTTATAGAATTAAAATTTACATATACAAGCCGCAATATCCCTATAGGTTCGTATATTACTCGAATGTTAAATAATTATTAATTATACATATACATTGAAACATTAAAATATAAAAAAACTAATAGCTAATTTGGGCTAATTAAAAGCTAAATATTTTTAACAAACTATGTTTCCTAAACGATGAGAGAATAAACCAATTTATAAACTTTTTATTAATAAATTGGCTGGAATTAGTGCCGCATAAATTTTAAATTGCTTATTTTTCACTAGTGAAACTGTCGAGTTAGGTATATCGCAAAAATTTAATTTTATAAGACTAGCTTAACATCATTGCCTGTAGCAATTTTTATATTCCCTCTTTATACACGTAATGTATTAAGCTTTCAAAGACAGCAACGACAGGCACCCCAAGTGCAAACACTTGAAGTTTACGCTTATTAAAATTCCGGTGAGTGTTGTGGCTTACTCAATTCAGCTATGGCCCAGAATTTCTGGGAAATTAAGTTGACAGAGGACATGTTTTAGATAAAAAGGGACAACTGATTTGTTGTTTAGCGTAAAAGTCTTTATTTGAATGGGTACAACAGGAGCGAATGACACAGCAGGATATAATTATCTGGAAAATTTCGTTCCGAATGGTTGAATCGCTTTATTGGGTATGAATTTTTACCGGTGAATCCATGTCGGTTACAAAATTGTAGTGTATGCAACTAAACACAAACAAAATTCAGGCAGTTTGGGAATAAATGGAACGAATATTAAAATGAATTCAATATAAAAGAGCCCGAGGTATTTTAGCGATTGTTTGATGTCACAAATACAATAGAAGTTGAAACTGGAAATGAGAAAAAATTAGCAATTTGTCGACGCCAATAAGAATAAATTAGTAGTAGAAACTTTTTGTAATCTGTTATTTTTTTGTCTGTTGTTTCATTAGGAAAATTTTGACCCAATTCATTTTCCCTCTAACAAGAACCAACCATATCTTTATACAATTGAAACTTATTATTAATAATAAAACATTCTAATCGGCAATACCGAAATGCTTTTCACCATTGCTAATTGCATATCACATTGTGACCTAACCCTTTTCAAAACTTTCCCGTGGATTCCCTTCGAAACCTTCACATTACATAATCTGTCATCTGTACTAAATAACATCAAAAAGTAATCAATCTAATTCTAAACTTGCCCTAATTTATACCCAAATGTTGATCAAATCACTCCACGTCTTCCAATAACGAATATACTAATCTATTGCTTTCAGATAATAAAAGAATATTTTTTACCTAATTTCGGAAAACAATTCCCAAAAGGGAATTTGTCATTGGGGGATTGCAGTTGAACATGTCAAAACTCCCCCGGGATCCTCCACAAATTACGTTACGCATTTACATTACACCAGCATGTTATACCTGGATTGTCCTTTTGAGCTCTGTTCTGTAATTTGTCCATTATATTTACGAGTCATTATTTTATCACATTATTTTTTTTGTATTTTAATAGCATATTTTTTCCATTAAAAAATAATTGCGGAATCGATATAATTGTAACCGATTAAAACAGCTTGTTACTATAATCATAGAACCTGCGAGGAATCATCGACGAATTAATTTCGAATAATTTCGGGTTGGATATTATAATTTGACTAAACCCGTAACTTTCGACCAAGCATGTCGTTATCCCTAGACCTCATCTCCTAACAAAAAGGTTTATATATTTTTCGATTGAACGGTTTGGGTACAAGGATAAGGGAACGACGACATCGGCTCCCAGTCAAGAAACTCAATAAGCACTTTAACGTTAAATTTAAAAAATTATGCACACGCTTCGGTGGCAATTTGGTTTCGTTAATTTAAAATCGAACGGAAGGTTAAGCTACTGTATAATGAGTTCTCTCCTAATTAAAATGTGAAAAGTAAGAATTTACTAAAAAATAATCGTTGTTGGAAATAAATTGTACTTACTTTGTAATGATATCCGGTAGTAGATGCATTGTATAATCGTTGGTAGTTCAAGATATCATATCTGGCCAAACCGTCCCCGCTGGTATCGAATTTTACAGGACTACCTGCTAAATCTATAAAGAATAAGATCCGATCGTTAAAATTATCCTATCAACAAATGATTAATTAACATTTTTAATGCCGTCTAATTAGTAATCTACAATTTTTCATTAAATCCTTAGACTATTTTTTTTCATTTTACAACTTCATATCTAGTTTTAAGCATCTGCAAAGTTAAAGGAAATTCTAATTTTCGCTCGAAATAGATCAGATATTTGAGAATAGATGTTAATGCGCTTATCTCATTTTGTTGTAAAGGCGAGTGAAGGTTCACGTCTCAATCTCATTAAAGATTCATCTGATCCCTATCTTGAAAGTTCGTCCTTCTGTTTAGTTCCTATATAACCAATATATGTCGCTTCGAGTACGAGAAAGCTGGATCATTATCAATAGAGGTTAAGGATTTATTTATAAACTTATGGTATAATTTAAAGTATGATTTAAAATTACTATAGAAGATTACTGCAAAGTATGGTATAATTATTATACCCAGTCGAAGTTTATGTGGCGTTAAACGTTATGTTCAGCTTGATGATGTTATACTATGAATTATGTCGGGCAATTAAATACGCATATTGCATATACATAGCGGTTCTAATACCGAATTAACTAATTTACCTACCCAAATTTTGCCGATTTCATGTCACTAACAGATATTTAGAGATTTAGAGAATTATATATAGTTGAAATGCTTTGTTTCCCTTCATTATGATATCCCTTTTAATAAAATTTGAGTCTATTTGAGATTATTAACAAGCGAATTTTTATTTTCAACATTCCTATTGTTAATCTAAATAGTTAATAACCAGAAAGAATTAGTTCGATCCCTCATTTTCTTTTACAGTCATTTTTATTGATCTATCAAACTATAATAGTACAATAATCCACTCATTAAAAGGGAATCTTTCTAAGTGGCGAATTTCGAACGCTAAAGCTGTTGAAACAAGTTCTCTCCCATTAGAGTAAGAACCTGCTGTGCTTGGATTTTAAATGACGGTATTTATCTAATTGGAAATAATACGTTTACACAAAATCGGGACAGAGGAAGGGAAAATAAAACTCGTAACGTCGCTTTTTATTTCGTTGAATTACTAAACTCACAGCTTAAATAAATTGCAAACTAGAATGAGGGTAACAACTTCTAAAAACAGTGACAACTGATCTCGTATTTAGTCCGTTTTTTTTAATTTTTGTAATTACTTAATTACCGAGAACTGAAGCACAAAGAATAAGATTGTAAGATAGAAAAGCCTTTGCTGCAGACTTTTTGTATGTAATAATATGTTATTTTCAAAAAAAAATTAATAACATATTTCCCATATTTTATTACCAAAGTAAAATACGGAATATTTCCGTCAGGGATATATTCGATTTTCTGTACAAGCGCTCGATCATGTTGAGAGGGTAGGATGTGCGGGTGTGAAATGAACGGCAGCGAAGCTGTAGATAGGGAATAGCAACGGATAGACGAAAAATATAAGATCAAGTAATTGTCCGTGAGTTCAATCGTGCTTCCAATACTAATGAATTCAAAATGGCCAAACCCCTAAAGTTTTCGGCATATAATTTGCTATATCAGATAACATGTTTAGGAGTCTGTTGAGAGTATTCATCCGCAATATTAATTTGTTTTAGCATCGATTAAATTTTACCGCAATAAATTGATTAGCATACTGCCTTCGAAATAAATTAACTAGTTCCAAATCTTTTAATATAAGATTAACTCCTGTAAAGTTTGTAATAGTACAGATAGTACAGACAATTTAAATATGACTCAAATTCAAAGGTAATTCAAATATATTTTACATGTTAAATTTTTTATTTGCTCTGACAAAGGGCTCTTCTATAAGGTAAAAAGACGAAGGCAAAAGTTACTAATTTTGATTCCAAATAAATGGGCTCCATTTGCATTGAAATACCTACTTGAATTCAGGAACATTACTCAACATCTGAATCGGTTTCATTAATTTGGATATAAAAGAAAGATAAAACTGTAATTTTGCATAATATACCTTAATTTTAAAACCCTATAATATTATTTACTTTTGTGAATTTTCCCATTTTGTCCATTTCTATGTTTTGCATAATTTTAATAACATCTCCAATTTCATATGTAATTAATCCATGAACTCATACCTCATTTAAAAAAATAATTCGCCTAATAATAGAACTCAAAATTAACTCATGTATAAAAAGGTCTGTAATATATGATAAGTGAATTTAATACAAAATTAAATATACTCGTATATTACAAATTAATCAAGTTTTGCTTTATTTTCATGCTTCACAATTCAAACAAATAGCAACAAAATCTATTTGTAAAAGCATATGTACATTAATGAAATGATATAGTCGAAGTACGTTAATCGCATCGAACGAAATCAAATAGAACAAGCCAAATAAAATTAAACACATTAATTAATAATTAATAATTTTGCAGCTATTAAAATAGGACGATATCGCTAATACGAACGAGATTTAGTAAAATATACTAAAAATTAAGTGTATCATTACTGCAATATTAGCACAGTCAAATCGGGTTGGTTTTTAATATTTTTACTGATATTTTTCAAAAAGTGAACAAGCAAGACGATAAAAATTACTGTTCCTCTCGACTAAAAGACTCACCTTTGGTGTAGATTACTATAACAAATTATAAAAAAAAACTTGAAATAATCTGGACTATTCCTCCGAATTTTGACTGGTCTATACTCGCTAAATAAATACATCGATTGCAGGTACATACATACGTAGATCTCATTACCAATTATTACATAATATGTCAATTAAATTATGAATGCAAAGCCAATATATCATGTATATAAAGATTTGAATTGACATTCGGAATTACTTACTAATTAGCTTTTTTATAGAGCAACGCAGAGTTGTTTGTTATATGCATTCTGGTATCTCTTTCATTAAAAGGATATTTTGATTTTAATCTATTTAAAATCGTCCAATGCAATTAAATGCAAAGGCAAACCCTCTTTGACTTTCACATTATAATTCAAACAAAAAAAAATAGATTGAAAGCTGCACTGGTAATACAGGAAAAAGGATATCATCACTATTCATTTTACAAAGTTAGGTTCTTCTATCCGCGTTTGAAACATATTTTATTTTACCAAGACCTTTAGCGACTTTACCAAGAAAGTAAAGCCAATCTAATTTAAATGCATCTTAGGGAAAAGCCACTTATCATAGCAGATGTTTACATAAACTCAAGGTCGATTTAAGTGACCTTAAGACGGCAAATAATATTGGATTTCCTTGAAATTGTGCTTTCCTTTTTTTAGAAAATTCAAGAAGAAAATATATAAATCCTTCGTTAGCGTTGAAAATGCCAACGGAAAATAAATTGTGCTTAACGTCTTATCTTGTTTGATGAATAACAATAAAGGAAAAACTTTATCGGAAATTGTTCGCGAACTTTCGAATATCGCGGGAGTTTTCGAGGTACTGTATTCCGTTATCGATGCGAAAGTGAAAATTGAAGACCTTCCCCAGGGTAAAGGCGAGCCAGGTATTCAAGTTTCTGACTGAATAAATACAATGCGGTAAGCCTTTTTGTGAATCAGCTACGCGATTTTTTCTTATTACCGTTTCTTTTTAATTGCTACGCTTTTCCGAATTAATACACAAGATGGGTTTCATTCAAAATATGTAAATATTTTACGAAGGAATAAATAAATTGTTGAGGCAAAAAAAATATCTCTCATCAACGGTCATTAGTTTTTTAGTAAAAATTATAAAAAAAATATATTATCAAAAATTTTCTTTCAAGGATTACGATAGAAAGGATAGTTTATTGTATCTGCAATATGCAGAAACATTTAATTCGTAATTTACAAGTGGAAAATGGGAGGTATCTAGTGTGAAGTTGAGTAGAAGAGCTTATATATAGCGCACAGCTGATACTCAATTTCTTTCTTCCACAATTTCCCTACTTTATCTTTTATATGCATAAAACGTAATATGCAGCTTGTGCTCTGTCGAATTCTCCCGCTTTCATTCCCACAAGTATTTACCACATTTGAACACGCATGATGCTATTCTAAATAAAAGTTCATTGGTACTTACCCATGAATGAAACATTTAACAAGTATTTCTTGTAAAAATCACCACCGTCGTATTGGGTCATAGCGGGACAAACGCCAGATTGGTTATAATCTTTGCAAAGGTCCTCGTGTAGATTGTGAAGTGCCAGTGCGAAAGCGTACACCGCATCTACTACGAATTGCACTTTACTTTCCTGCTCGTATCTGAAATTAATGGAATAAACTAAATGAATAATGAAGGGTATGCGATAAAAGGGGCGTTTTAGTGTTACGCCACTGATAGTTTTCAGCGAATGATTTGTGATAAAACGCCATGCTGAGATAAAAAAGATATATGAGGTAGCCTCGAAATGGAGAGCATTAAAGCAATAGAGTACACCTGAGTGTGTTTTCTTATAGAATGACAAACAAATATGTACGGCAGCGTTCTTCGTTATTGTACTTATAAATTATTACCTCGGGTTATCTGTTCGCATTATTTCAAGTATAACGAAATATTAATTCGACTGTACAAAGAAGACGAAAATGTAGCGCAAAGAGATAATAATTAAAACAAGAGATGCGAAAAAGTTAAATCAAATTTTGATTTATTTCCATTGAGATTGAAACCAATACAGCATTTTCATGCGATAAGAGCAAAACTAGACCAATGTATTTTAAACGTATCACCCTCTAAATGTGGTCAGTCATGTATGAAAGCTTATCAGATACCTAACGTGATGGTTTCAATATTCTGATATATCTTGTCTGTGCCGGTCGTTTATCATTTTAGTGGCTATTGTCTTTGCGTACAACAAAAATTTTACCTCGGATACCGCTCATTTTCCTATCCCTCGATACTGGTTTTGTCGTTTTACAACTTCCACTTCGATTTAAATCTCCGGCTTCTCATATCTCGCAAAAAAGTATATTCAGTCTTCATGCAAGAATAATATGTTCATTTGTTCCCCAAAAATTTTACCATTCGCAGATGATCGATTTTACTGAATAAACCTATGAATTGGATTCGTACACGAGCATGAAATTAGACTGAAATGATAACACTCGATATGTGGTCTATATATTCCGGTAATCCAAATTTTGAATTTAAAGCTAAAATAATCAATAATAGCACGGAATACAAATCAGCATTGTAATCATGTCAATGGTGAAGGTACGTTCATAAAACGGTAAATCCTATGATCCGATAATTGCATAATGCAAAATAATGGGACGTGATGCATTTTGAACAATTTTATATTCTACACGTGAAAATAAATTTTGCGATTAATTTTGCCCACTCGTTGTTGAATATGGAAAAATTATTTACATGTGCATCAAGATTTGTGCACTCGCAAGAGATTAAAAGAATATTAAAATCAATGTTGTATCAAATCCGCTCCCATTTCAGTTTCCTATTACCCACTGTTTTGTTATTCCTTTTGATAAAGGTTAACGTTGACTGACGCCAAATTTACGTTACTAACGAATTAAGGCAATTACAAACTCCCCAGCCGTTTGCCCTTTTCCTTGAAGCTAGTTTGAACAAAGGTACTAAGAAATTCCTCCAACAGTTATTAGAGGTATCTAGATTCACCTTCTTGGATTCGTTCCTGAAGCTATTTCTGGCAATTTCTCTAGCGCTTTTGGCGAACATAAATCAAATTTACTATACAGATGTTCGAAAAAGTGTTAATTAGTAGATTCAGGGTAAATCAGCACAAGTAAAGCTTTCCTAAATTGAGAATATACGTATTGTTCGAGCTGTTAACTACATATTGATGCTATAACAATAACATAATATACATATATGCATACCGTGTTGGAAAATTTTTCGCGCATAATAGGGAAATCAATGTTAAATTCTTAGCCGGCTGAAATCCAATCTACCAGTGTACATTTCAATAGAACGTCGCGATCAATTCTAATAAATTTAATTGTTCTACTGGACTTCACACCGCGCTTTGGCTTGGTTAGATTAAAAATCAAATAATTTCGACGGTTTCAACACTTCGACAGTATCAAAACGGGTTCGGATGGGTGAACGTCGAGTCGATTACAAAGAATTGAGAATTTTTAAACGATAATTTATTGAAAAAATATCACTAATAATAAAATAGAATTATGTAGATATGTCTTTTTGCCATAATGGCTTGAAAAAGAAAGTAAATTCTAAGAAAATAATAAAAAGAATACTCCAAAAATAAACTTAAAGATTATTTTAAAATAGAAAATAAAAGAACTCTAAAAAATAGTCCACCGCTTTCTGCTAAACAATAGCCAAACCTGTCATACAGATGTCATCTCATATTACTGAGCTGAGGTGTAATTTTAAGAAAATTGAATTATTTTTTCCTTATTTTTCCTTATTTTAACAAGATTTGTTGCTATTTCAAAACTGTACCTACCGATACACACATTTTTTTGAAATATCCCCAAAAAACCTATTAATTGTAGTTTCTAAATAATTTTGTACCTCATACCTAACACAAATAACTTTGTACCTCTACAAATCGCGGCGTGCGGTCCAGTAGAACAATTAAATTTATTAGAATTGATCGCGACGTTCTATTTAAATGTACACTGGTAGATTGGATTTCAGCCGGCTAAGAATTTAACATTGATTTCCCTATTATGCGCGAAAAATTTTCTAACACTGTATATGACAAATGAAACAATTTTATGAAATAATCTCTATTATAACAAATTAATCTTATCAATTATTTTCCTCATGATATTATCCACATATTTCAATAATTTGCAGTGCTTTAATTCAATTCGAGATGCTTCAGCAATCGTTAACTGAGATGAAACTAACCTGAAATGCTAATGGATTTATTAATTAATTCGTGCAGCACAAATATTCTTTTAACCGTTAGTACATGCACTTTCAATTTGCATTCTCAAACATTCCGTATTTGTATTAAACGCCAATAGGTATAATTGATATCGAATCTGACTATTAATTTGTGGAATAATATTTTATGGATGCATATTCTATTTGTAATTCACATGGTGATTAAAGCTATTGTCAATTGATATTTATTTTCTTTGATAGAGGGAAATTAAAAAGGTAAACTATAGATTTTTTTTGTGTTGGTAGGTATATTGTTAATACCCCGATGTAAAAATATACAATCGATCAAATTTCAACCGTTGTATTAAACATGCAAATTCAATGATTTTCCTAAATCTATGCCAGCCATAAATTTTCCGAAGGTATTTCAATGCGGGCATTTTAAATAAATAGTCTCATATTTAACGACACTTCGGTCTTTAGGCCTCCAGCAACAACAATTGGGTATTGTCAAAATAATGGAGTTCACTCAGAAACAATTACTACCGGAGAAATATAGCAGAACGTATTATTGTTTCATATAGAACCCTCTCTAACGGTGTAGAGAAAATCTAATAATCTGTCAACCTTTTGCTCAACAAAAAACAGACCCTTTTAGAACGGGTTTCGAGATATAAATTTTTTTCGTTCCTATTTTTTAAAAATCGTATAAAACATATTCAATTCATTTGATTAAACTAATACCATCCAGCTGTGACGGTAAGTGGAGAAGTCTTTTTTGGCCTTCCTGCTAGAAAAAGTACATGTTTCTTTACTCTCTTCTAGTTTGGTCTATTACTGTTTTATTCTGCTCACATTAAGTCGCTCTGTGGGTTTCGTTACAATGGATTATTTGCGACTTACTTCACGTTGAAACAAACAAAACTAGATGTGATGATCAAGATGGCATTAGAGTGGAATTTACAAAAAAGTTGGAGGTCTTCCTGCATCAACATTTATCTTGAACTTACAGACTGAAAGAGAATTTCGTAGCATTTTCTGCAATAAAACCGTATCCGTTCTGGTTTATCTTCGTAGGCGTTACTGGAAAGAGAGTGAATTTTTCACTTCTGCCCGTCAAACACATGCTTTCCAACAAAAAATTTCTCCGTGACTGTATCGAGTTTTCTTATAAAGCCTACTGGATAGATTCCAATTTATTTTCTTATTATATAGAAATAACTGACTAGTATGTCAATGTGGTCTTCTAAAAGAAATATGAAAATATAGTAGGACGCTCAATTATATCTTAACACAGCGGATAATTTTTTTCATGTTCAATAAAATTTATGGAGTAGTTGGAAAATTTCTGGAACTAACCGCGGATAGCTACTCACTTATTTCATTTATTTATTTAGGATCTGTAATGAATTCAAAGGAACAAATTGAAACGGGCTAAAATCAAAATAATTTATGCATTAAAAATGTTTCATTAATGAGAAAGGAGCGAATTAAAATATATAATAGGTAGACTTAGCGTCAGTACTTTTATGTACTTTGAAGTGAATCTTTATAGGCTCTCAGGAGAGCTCAAGGTAAAATTTATAAGTACAGGTGAAATAGTGGAATGAGAATAAATTTAGATATGTTTAAATAATTTGTATGGTATTAGTTTCTGTCGTAAAAGAATGTTTCTATTTAAATATTTTTCAAGTCCTCGTACAAAAATTTCATATTCTTATAAAATATGTCTTATGCAATCTTGTTCTTAAATAGGTAGTAAATTATTAATATTTTTTATATTAATAATTTATATTTTTATATTAATATATTTTTATTAGATTAATAAAAACTTCAACTGAATTTCTCGTCACAGAGTGGGCTACAGAATCCATCAAATATTTACAAGTCTAGTGATGTTTTCTGTATCGTATTCAATAATTCAAGTTTCAACCTTTAAGTAAAACATAAGGAAGACACCGTCTCTTTTATAGAAAGGAAGTATGTACTAATAAATAGCCTTCCCATGAAAATTTAATTTTACTTTGAAAAAAAATATGTAGCAAAAATTCAGCAGGAAATCAATTGGATTTACCAAATGGTGTTTTACAATTGCCTGATTTTTTGAAAACAAATCTATTTTATTAAAGATAAATTTAAAACTGACGTTACCCCAGTTTTCTATGTTATTAAGTTTCCGTGTGTTTTCTGCAATAGAAATTGCATTTCATCATCTAGAAGTAGAAAAATTTATCAACGTTACGAGAACACATTCAATTGTCATTATGTAAAGAAAATGCATTTGAAATGGCGAAATGAAACGAATTTTGAGGAACTAAAATTACAGAATAAATTTCATTTAATACCCTGTATTTAATCGGAAAGAAAATTTCATGGAAGCAAACATTAAGTGAGTTTCAGAAATGCAATGAAGAGGGTAAAGTGGAGAATGTTTCTAAAAGAGTCGCCACGTAAAGTCTGAGTTTATTTTAACTTTACGGAAATTTACGTCAAATTAAAAACTAATATTTACTTTATAAAATTTTTGAGTCCGTTGAAATGAAGATGCATCGTATATTTCCTCTATTTTATTTTACACAATATTCTTTTGTAATATGTAGTAATATTTAATGAGAAATAACTTACCCAACACTTTGCGATAGCCTCAAATCATTACTGCAAACGTTGAAAGTATGATTCGTCTCCAGAGGGATGTTTTTCTCCAGAACACAACCGAATGTATCCTCCCAATACTGCTCGAACCAGGGATTACGTGTGTTTCTCTCAGGTGTAAGTGACATCATGTAGTCGTCAAAACCAGGAATATGATTGGACTGTAATTCGACCGTGATTGCCCCTTCTGCTACGTCCTCTAATCCTTCAACCAATTTCTGTTGTTTACCCCAGCCATCGCTCGCCACCCAGTAGAAGGTGTGACTGGCATTTAGTCTCTTGGCTGCCTGCAGAATTCTCCTGTGAAAATCACGTAGAGTAAACTAATAAATCAGACTCAAAGACATAGATAATACGTCAGATAAACATGGGCGTGCTCACAAATTTCCAAAATCGTGCAGAATGTTGAAAATTTAATATAACGCCGTTCTACGTCACGCTTATTAAAGACTTATTTATAGAAATAACTTTATTAAAAAACTTCTTGAATTTGCTGAAGAAAATTCGTGAGACATTTTTTAATTTGCTGGAAGGCCCACATTTCGCATTTCAATCCCACCTCGAATATCAAAATAATGTAATTAAATTTGAAATTACTTTTGACAAACAGAACTGGAAGCGTCGAAAAGAAGAAACCGGCCCTGAGTTTTCAATTAGCTAATGTGAAATCAAATTTCCCGTAACCTTTCCGTTTTAGCGTAATTTGTTGTTTAATGCCCGAGGTTGGTTCTTTTTTCATTAAATTTTTTTCGGTTTCACGAATACATTCGGTTCACGTCTTGGTTAAATCGGCAAATTAATTAACCGTAAATTTTTTTCATTCTTTGATATATTTGAACAAAAAAATTTTGAAAGAATATATGGAATTAACTTATTGATATACGAGTACATATGTATGTAGGATATTCGATGGAAAACTATTTCAAAAATTCTCATTAATGAAAAAAGTAATTAGAGTTCCGATAGTTCCGATTTAATTGGAAATCCTTTGAAGCAAGACACGCACACCTACATGTACATATGTATGTAGATACTAACAAAAGTTTTTTGAAGTTTAAAAACACATAATAATAAAATTTCCATTGTCGATACATCTGTATTCATTTTCACTTTGTGAAACCCGAAATCGTCCTTTTTGTGTGAAATAAATATTCACTAGTGCGGTTCAATTTATTTAGTGCTAACTTGAATAACGAGAATGTATTGAAAATATCCACAAAAACCGAATTTACTGAAGCGCTATCGTATCTCACGGATATAGTTGAAATTTACGAGGCAGCTCTCGTTGTTCTTCTGTCTGAACTCTCAGAAATTATAATCCAGAAATACCATCCGGCAACGCGCTCTAAAACTTCTCAATTCAGCATAATGGAGGATATATGGCATTAGTAAAGTAACCGTCAATGATGTGGAAAATCGATCTTTTTCGTTCCTCTCTAAATATATGATCGAATTTTTAATAAATCTTTGTCAAATTATTTTTGATTTAAAACCATCAAACCCTATAAACCATCAATTAATTGTGATTTTTAATATACATTATCGTGATGATTTCTAGTAATTATTTTTTACAACATGGTGTATTTTTGTTTGACAAACAGTGGAGGAAGGTCTGCAGCCGTTTTTCAACTTCCTGTTCCGTTCCTATCCCATCGCTCGGTATTTATCCTATAGCTTTAAGAAAATATGTCTGTTCTGTTCTCTCTGGTTTAAAATCTTAAAATATATATCTATGCTGAAAATCGTGTCTCTTGTCTCAGCTGGTATGTTGTCCTGTAGGATTTTGCGCTAAGACACGTAGAGGTTTAAAAAGTTTTACTATAATTTGTCGTGTCGCTAAGTCAACGCGCTTAATTGAAATATTTCTAAAATCCCTTTCTTACAAGGTATAAATCTTTCATTTAAAAATGTATGCGAACATTATAATGAAATTTCTGTATAATGTAAAATTTAAATTATGCGTAAACATCGGAACATTATATACCATACTTAAAAAAAATAAAGCAATTATAAGGTAAATTTAATGCTTTCGGCCATTTACAAATATCGAAAGCAATTTATGTAGGTAAAGTATTTTCAATTTAGTCGAATTTAGAAACAAAAATTAATTATGTATAATTTTGTTCAGCCGGAGCAATACTTAAATTAAATTAAAGGCTATCTCAAATTAGAATTTAACAGTCTCCGAGTACATTTCGTGCGTTTAAGGGAACAACCGGCTATGATTTCGCAATCAATTTCTAACAATTTGTAAATCGAATAAGTGAATTAAGCCATTAGGTAAACGAAAATGGCAAAACGTGAATTTAAAATTCGATATTTCATGTGCGAATTTTGCGGTAAAATTCCCGATAAAACTCCTAATGTTTACCAAATCGACAGTATTATAAAATGAATTCAAATTACAGGAATTAAAGCGCTGTCGCATTTTAACGACTTTCCTCCGTAATATACTGTTTATATTAAAATATTTCGGCGCTGGGGGCATTTTACCTTGCGAAAATAAGTTTCAGGGTGAATTATTTTCACAACCGAACTTCTCGATTCAAAAGTTCCCTTTTTACACATCTTGCGTCTAAAGGACTGAGTGCCCATTATTCAAGGTGAGGAGAACAGCCTAACGCCGTAATAATTTTAATCTCTAAAAAGAGAGAAACTTCGCATTCAACGTTATATGTTTTCTTCCAGGACACAGGAAAAACAGGCGTAGAGAGCGTTGCGCTCAATTTAAAAGATAATTCCATGTATAAAAATATACGAGTAAAGGAGGGAATAAATGAAAATAAGTTAGAAATGTTTTGTACAGTATGTTGAACTGTATTGCATCTTGAAAATACACTATTTTTGTTAGTGCCACAAATGCTCTAATAATTTTTCGAAGTATAATAAAGCGATTTATTCCTAGGAAACTCTTCGGAATTTTCGTAACTGCTGTGTTAGCAAACATATATCACTTTTATTCCACGCATATTTCAGCCAAAGAGGCAATTAGTGACTTTAAATTGGTGTATTTATAGATCCCTGAAAATTCCTATTCGTCAAAATTGGTAATTTCCACTAAGCGACGTCGAATTATAAAGTTAAATTTCATCAAATTAGTCAAACTTTATCGTTAACTACGTCAATCGAACTTGTCGTTTTTTTAGACATGTCTGGTTATCGGATTTCTATTTTTCATCTAAACGTAAATACTTTTTTAATTAAAAAGGCTAATTCGTGCTTCTTAGTATAAATTACGAGGATTTGAGGAAAAAGAATCGGATTTAAATAGAACCCCGTTGACAACTTCGATTTTACTTTTAAATTGGATACTTGTTTGTTTTTCAATCAACCCACGTATCCTGGCCATTAAACATTAAATCGCGATTAATTCCTCTAGAAAGTTTACTTACGAAATTTCATATCAAAGAAGTGCTTCGTACCATTTGGAGATGCTTTTTTACCCAGTTTTGTTTAATTTCATTTACAAATCTCTACTCAATTTATTATACTGGTTTCTTGCACGATTTCATTTCATTCTTTATTGACTCTTTATTTGATTTACAGGATATTTAAACATAATTTAACAAGCTTTTTTATAATTATAAACTTATTTCTTATATTCAAGTGTGTATGTCAATTCTCGTTGTTCCAATTTGAACCATGACATTTAGTAAAAGAAACATTTGAATTCTACTACGTCAATCCATCATTTATTCTGTTATTAATTTAATTCAATTATCTCTATCTAAAATAGTAATAATTCTCATTAAAGCAACTTATTAATGAATGACGAGGTCTTCATGAATGGTGAATGTGAAGTGTAGTGTATAGATCATAGAGAATGTTAGAAAGGGTAAGACTCGTGAATGAATGATATATTGTAAGCATGTTTTATTACTGCTGACCTGAATAGGAATTTATAGATGATGAATAAATTACATCCCAACAGAATTAACCATACCACTGATTTATCGATACACAATCCCGTACATAGTCTTACAATGATTGTTGTTGCTGCGAGGGCTTTAATTGGTTTGAAAATGAAACCGTTTCGCCAGTATCGCAATCGATTTAGCAAAATGGAAGTTCTAAAATCGCATTGGTCCATCATTTCTTTTTAAATTAAAAATATCCGTCATTGTTTGTGACTTGCAGGGTACGGAAATAACTCGGAAAGAAAATTTAGACCGCAGAATTGAACAATATATGTGTGGTGTTTTTCGTTTTTCGGGCAAACAATGCACGATTGTCAGTGAAAGAGTTGCTTTCTTTTGATAAGTAATGTTAACTGCCATACCACAGAAAGAATAGTGGTGAACGAATTACATTTCTACGCCAATTCATTTTCTATACTGACAGAAAAGTATTTCATTCAGCTATTGTAAAATATCGTATTTATATAAAATTAACCGATAATACAAGTTAAACACAAAACACAAACTTTGTGTATAAGCCCTGCAAAAGGATTAAAAATCATCGTAGATTTATATCGCACATTTATGTATGTTCGCACCTATTGCACAGTTTTTCTAACAGGAAATTGGAGCGAGAGTGGCCGATTCAAATTTATATATGGCCTTTCCTACTTCAGTATGTTATCAAATTATTGTATATTACAATTCAGACAATGTTACATTTTTTCGTCCTCTCTCGGAAAAAGAACATTTATCATTCTTCCATTAAGCGCTCCGAATAAAAACGACACATAATGGTTTATAAGTTAACTTTTAAAATTCAATATTTCCAATGAATCGAGGAAATGCTGCTCGCTTGAATGGAAAAAATTAATGACTCATTGATCACTGGGATTTATTTTATGTATCGAAACTAAAGTAGACTTTCTATTTAATTGAATAATTGCAATCTCTAGCTAAAAAAAAATCTGTATACAATTAATTCTGTTTTTTGGTCGAATTTTGTACCACAATTTACATCCTGTCACAGAACGCAATTAGCACCTTAAATATTTACACTATCAGGTTTTATACTTTCAATTAGGTTTCTTTTGGGATATACTTTATTTCACATTTTATAAGTGTACTGTTGCATTGATGTTGCACTTTACTACTACTACGATAACGTAAAAATCCTTGAGTTTACTATTTCACAAAGTCTGAAAATGAATATGCAGATTTAAATTAATATTTCTGAATTATTAGGAAATTCAATTTAAAGTTATCTAAGCTGATTAAGTTTTGAACTTTAAAATATCCACACATTTAATTTGTCGAAAGTTAATTCCGTCAGATCTCTCTAAATTCACCTGCAAACGCGACGGAACTATTTCATTTCCCTCGAATATATTTCCAAATTGACAAGGGCACCTAATGCGTTAGAGCAGTATTCAAGTAAAGTTAATTAAATAATTCAACTTTTTTCAGATTTCAAACATTTAAAAATAAAACAAGTCTCTTTATTTAAATAAAAATACGTACCTAGCATCCTCCGCTCTCGTGAATAGGACCACACCTTTGGCGTTGATTTTCTTTTTCAACTTTATGATGATATTATCAAACTCTCTGTCATCTGCGGCACTGGGCACTTTCTCAGCGGTGGCAATGCAGACATTTCTTTCTTGCGCTTCTCTGTGGAATACCTCTATTCCGTATTCTCCATAGGAACCTTCGGAATAGATTGTAGACACATAGGACCAATTGACACTTTTGACAATGTCTACTAAAGCGCTCGATTGAAAAGTGTCGGGAGGAACAGTCCGGGCGAAATATTTAAATCTCGATTTGTCGCTTAAAGCCTTTGCAGTAGACGCTGGGGATATTTGCGGAATGTTGAAAAGTCCCAATAGGTTGGCGACTTGAAGGGAAACTGAACTGTAAGATCCACCAACCACTCCGAACACCGGACCGGAGTAATTGTTCCTTGGCAATGGCAACTGTAACAAACAAAACAGAAACGTTAAGAGATAAAAAAACGTTGTTTTATACATAAATTATTATATTGTTTAAAATAAATTATTTATAGAAGGCAATTTTGAAGTTCAACTAAAATATTCTATGAATATATTAAACATAATTCTCGCGTAAGTTTTAATTGAAGACCAATTTATATTTATCAAAATACCTAGTCCCGTTCGGTGGAACAGTTTTGCACGCCAAAACTTAAATCTGAATTTACGATGTAATTATGTTTACAAAACGCGTCACAAACTCTTCCGCAAACTCCGCTTCTGCTGTTGACTTCCTTGCATTTCTCAGCCGATTTTATCCTCCGATAATCGTACTTGCATACTCCATATATCTTCATGAAAGCGCCGTTCGAATCGACCCGATAGGGATGCTTTCATCAGCACTGACAATAATCTTTCCTAAGGAGAACCGTCGAGAACTGAAAATTTTACGGTGAAACGTCGCTACAGTACATATTGGTACATATAAATACTTTCAACTCAATAATAGGTTTTTTATAGATATTACTAAAGTGCAATTTAATATGCACTCATTTATATTCACTTAACTTGGTTTTTAAATGAATAGTGAATTACAATGAAAATCACGAATCAAATATCCATACTATGACCTAATCAAATTCGCTCTATTTTTCAAATAAGCGCGACCATAAAATCGGCATTCTTTTATGAAAGTTTTATTAGTCTTTAAAGAGCTTTAATGTGCTATCACAACGTTGAAAAAAAATGCTGATGAATATTTCTATTATAAGTAATTCCTTATTATACGCCATTTGCTTTCTTTGTTGTATTATTGTGGATTATGCTTCATTTGCTTCATTCGCTGAGATGATCACGAAGTAATGTATTACAAATTACACGTTGTGAGTAGGTATACGCGATTTGATCAAAGAGAACTTAAAAATAATTTTGTGAATAAGACACCAGATATGAGTGGCAGCTATCTTTTAGGAAATATAACTTACCCTGTTATACTGTGAATACTTCCGAGTAATTTTTAATACAGGTATTATTTTATAATGCTTACCGAATGATCAGCGCACTCGAAAGATGACGTATCGATGCTATTTAGAGATGCCCTGACGAATTGTAAGCTTTGGTTTAGGGCGTAAGTATCCCGGGAACAGGTGTCTAAAATGTGAACTCCAAGGGTGACGTTGGGCAGAATATTTGGATCTCTATTAATTTTATCCACTGCAAACATCATCGCTTCCAAACGTTGCACGCCTCGATGGTAAATTTGGGATCCGCATGGTGTTTTGTCGCCCTTCGTATGGACCGGAAATAAACCACCTAGAATTATATCGCCTGGGACGCTGACTGCGACTTGTTGGTCTAACTGTGCGTTGTCGGATGCCAATGCGCATACAGTACATACCAACAACCCGATGATAGCTCCCATTAGCCACCTTCTAACCACGATTTGACTTAACCTGTAACAATAAAATACAATCAGTAGGTATATAAGGCCAACTTGGTTAGCGATAGTAAGAAAGTCGATTTTTACGTGAACTGTATTTCTTATACCAGGATTATATTTAAATGCAGGGCAGTATTCCTTTGTAAGAATGCGATAAACATTTTCACTGTCAGGATAGCGGAGAGCTACCCTATAAATGACTCTCAACTCCTACGCTAGTTCTCTTCAATAAATAAACGGACAAGATAAATGGACCCACATTGTAGTCTTTTAATTACGAACTAGTGAACGAAAGTAGGACACAAATAAGATAGCCGAAAAGGAAATTATAGTTGTTCATTACTTAAGTAAAATTATAATTCCGGAATTCGATGGAACAATTAACGTTTAATACGGCAATAAAATTTAGTACCGGCATATTTATTTGCGCGCCTTTCAGTAAAATAACGAGTGCTTAATTGTCCCTAAAATTAAATTTAGTGGTGTCAAATGAAAAATTAATTCATTTAAAATCGTTTAAAGATAGAGCTGTACAATATTTATTAACCTATTACCATTCATAGAATCTAGAAATATTAAAAAATATGTGTGGTTAGATGAGTGAGAAGACCTTACAAAAGCCCTGTATATCATTAAAAGGTAACCCATAGATCTTCAATAACGCGTTATTTTTTTAAATCAATTTCTAAACTAGGTATAATTGGCATATCGAAAGGTATGAAATGAGTGCAAAATAAACATAATAAAAATCTGAATTTGTACACTCAGAAGATAATATAAAGTCACCTACAATAACTGAATTATTACTGGATAAAACAGAACGAAATTATTTTAATCTAATGTAAATAACAGCTTGAAACTAATGAAATGGAATTGAAAAAATAAATATATCTGAATGCGTAAATTACACGAACGGTTACACGAAATGCTATAGAGTATAGAGTGTTAGTTAGCAGTTTCTATTTAGAAATAAAGATAAGAGTCGAAAGGAAGTTGTTAAAATTGTGATGTCGTTTCTTGCTGATAGAGACTTAATAGAAAACCTCCCTCGTTCTCAACGGAAATCGCTGAAAGTCAATAAAACTTAAAGGTGAGCATGTATTTGGATTTTTGTGCAATCCGAAAAACCAAAGAATAGTTGTCGGATTTCGACGTTAAAGATTAGCAGGGCAATTTCAGATGATGGTGAACGACTGACCTGACCTAGCTATTGAAAGAAGCTGATAGTCGAGGGAAAGATTACCATCGCTCAATCGCTCATACATTTAAACTCGTTTAGGTAATGTACGTGAACCTTTTTATTTAACGATGATCACTTAATGAAAATAATCATCTTATAGATAAAAATTCGGAATAAATTGTTATTTTTAATCATACACCTATGTATATCGAGCTGAAGACCACACATTTTCTAGTTGTTTATAGCTCCAGAGACATACATACATATATTCGAACCGATAATCCAATTCGAATATCTGTAGGAGGTAGAAAAATAACAAATTTTTATCACATTTTCCATAGAGCAGTTTTCTTGACTGTTATTGAGTTATGAAAACCTTGAACACAAATTTCGTTGATTTTTTCTAGATTTTAGATCATATTTAAATATAAAAATTAAATACTTAAAGCTTGTTACCTAGTGTAGACAAAGTTGGTTGATTATAATTATTTAAAACACTAATAAATTCACTAATGACATTTCTTCGCACTGTGAATTGCATAAAATTTTCTCTTCACTGTCTTTACTATTATTTCAAAGATTTTTAAACAAATAGGTGGGATTAAATTTATCATTCTGTTACCCATTGTTACTGAGAACGAGTTTATTGAATCGAATATTAAAAATGTTTATTTAAATAAATGTTTTATTGGACAGAATTAAAAAAATAAATAAACTGTAATTAAAATTTTATTTAATTAATATTATTAAATCTTACTATACAACGCTAGTTTAGTATTTTTTCTAGTTTCATTTTTAATATATGAATTAAGTAATTGTATTCAACCTCCACCAAAAGTTAAAATGTACACAATATGTTGGATATTTTACATCTCTCATGTTATATTTATATTAAAATGTGTAGGTATATTTGCTAACATGGAACTTGTCCAGAAACACCTGCATTTGACGTGAGATAGTCGAGTATATTGAGAAACAAATGTAGTCTTCATTTATGTAAAGCGAGGCTTTTATAATCATAGCAAGAGACAGCAGCAAAGCTGTCTCTAATCTCCAAAAGCGAGCAAATGAAAAGTCATACTGCACAGGTAATGACCACTGGAGCGTGCTTTCCCAACATACGCAATTTATAGCTAGAGTATAATTGCACACCTCCTATAGCGCTGGGCTTTACTGTAAGGGTTAAAACAAAGATAATTATGCCATGTTGGTGATACGTTAAGTAAATATTCAATTTGCGGATCATTAATGTAAAATACGACTCAGCAGTTTTAGTGGACTGCTTTAAAAAAACTCTTCATTCGGTATAGCTTTGTGTAATGTTTCCAAAGTTTAATTTTCGATTACACAAGTCACTATTGATTTGAATACATGTATTCAAAATTAAATTCCAACTTACTGCTTCTCTAATTATATGTATGTTCATTTACAGAGGTCAATAAACCGATAAATTACCAGTAGGTAGTAGTTTCTATCAAAGTTTCATCAACAGATTGAATCGTCATTTTAGGCGAAACGTCAAATAATTAACACTATATCTCCCTCTGCAACTGATAGCCATATTTTCAGCATGACTGATGCCCATTCAAAATATCAGAAAATCGATACGTTTACTCGTATATTCGCTGCAGAAAAATGGTTACACGTCAATTAAAAGCGGCTAATTCTTCGTGTGAATATTTTTACTTTAACGAAGGTGCTTATTTTTGATATATGTATCTATAAAAACATTTCTTTGTTTAGAATTGGCACAAAACCCCAAAATGTCGAGAGAATGCATGGAATAACATCGTTGTTTGAATATAGCACGTTCAAAAGGACAATCAATAAACAAATAAATCCAAAGGCGGAAGAGATTAAGACTACCGAAGAGTAAATCGGATAAAAAATACTTGAGGTTTTTGGATAGCGGGCCAGTAACATAAACAAGAATGCGCATAAATTGAGCCCGTACGTGTTTACAATGATTTTGAACTTGGAGTTGGTTAGGGGAAAACAGAATTTGGGATTTGTTCCGTAAACATTTCAATTTGCAGAACGGCAATACAAATCAATTTTTTACTGTATTTCCTCTACATTTTTTTTAAGTTCCAAGTTGATACCGAAAATCCACATTTCAACTCAACCTATTGGGCGTTTAATAACTCTTTAAAATTACTCATTCTTTCAGTCTCGTGTAGCAAGCATAAAGTCGTTGAACTATGGAAGTTTTAACAATGAGTTATCCGGAAGCGTTTGAAATTTGGTTGTTACCCAAGCAATAAATCGTTCCCCCTCAGGGACTTAAATGGGAGGATGCGGAAATATTATCCTCGAACTCTCCTCCATACCTACAAATTCTTTAGTTAATCTACTCATCCTTCCAAACTACTATAAACACTCTATCTCTGGCATACCTACATAACGAAAAATGACCAGAAGCCATCACCCACTATTATTACCTTAGGCCTCAGTAAAAGTTTTTTCTCAACCTAAGCATTTACTTAGTTTTATGTAAACCAGCTAACTGTTACGGTAAAGCGAGTCACGTTTAATGAATGGACTTTATTTGACGCCGACTTGCTCCAAAAAGTCTTTAAATTTATTAACAGACGACAAGTCGATATAAATGTGAAATAATTACCTAATTAACTAGAAGTGGAAGTAGCTGAGGATTTTCTTTTAAAATTTCAGTTATTCCTTTAAAATCCCGAGAGCGAAAATGTAAACATGACAACAAAGGGTTGAATGATAATCTCGATATAAAGCCGTCTTGAAAATTCCCGGCAGTTTTCGCCTAATTAGTAAAATAAATTAAAATCAATTATACCGGAGAAGGCGTAAATGTTTCTTCAAATGTAACCCTTATATTATTATACATTTTGTTTTAACTCCTCTTGGATATTACTGTAATTTAGCTTTGGCTTTTTCTATTTGCGGAAAGTTTTTTTATTGAAATGCATATATCCCTTTATTTGGTCAGAAATGCACAAAGTGATTAAATTAACGGCCTGTATCTTTGGACTAAATTATCTTTGATTACAATACGTCTTTCATATGGAATATTATGTCTTTGTGTGTGTGTGTAATATGAACACATTGAATTACCTAATATGATTATTGGAGGTAATGGAACGAACTATAATCAAACATAATGCTAATTAGTATAGTTGCACGTATTCAACTTCAGAAACAAACATGTTTTTGCAGGTTCTGTGTAACTAACATATCTGTACTGATTAGAGGAATATCAAAGCACAAAGGTACATATACTAGGTAATTAAAGACTCATTAAATGAACTGTTATATTATTCATCGTCTCTAATTAATACATATCAGTACGTCCATTTCAATATTCATCAAAACTAAGCTTAAAGCATTTATGGAATGAACTAATTCACATTTCACAATATAAACCTACTTTGTGCATGCGTGTGTGCATAATTTTCAACTAACTTGTATAACAAAAAATGAAAATATAAGGGGAGAAAATAATATTTTTTACCAATTTATTTGACATCCTAAATATTTATATTTTCTTGCGTTATAGAATTATTTTATGTGAATCTCCTCCAAAGGGCAAGGCAAAGCTTTGCAATGTAAACCGAATACATATGTATTTTTCGTGATATTGGTGTAGTTGATCAAAAATTGAAATGCCATTTACTTCTTGCTTCGGGCTGGAGTGTATCACTAAGTGACGAGATAAGATGCCGTATAACATTGAAATGAAATTCTGGGAAAAGTGAGATGACATGGGGAGCAATAATATTTTCGTCAATGTCTTGGCAGTTCACTCCCGATTCAATGGCCTTGAGTAAATAAATATCATGTTACATACTTGTCCAGCAAGCAAGGAATATCAGGGTGACAGGAGACGCAAACAACTTGATTCCATTCGATCTGCTTCCTAAAAAAGTTTTTTTGTAATTTCAACATAAATCCTGATTTTAGACATTTCTCGACTGACTTTACGAAACTGCTCCCGTTGGTAACGTGGATGAAATTGATTAAACGTAAAAACGGAGGAAGCGACTGAGAAAACAGAGCTTCAATTAAAAACAAAATATCTGTAATGGAAGAAGGGTTTTCAACGAATATTTATAGAAATTACTTGTGGAATATAAAGATCTAATCGAATCTTTACAAACGTATTTTTTGTTTGTCGTAACTTAAATTAGTATTTAAAATTGTTTAAATATATAAATTGTTATATACGATGTTATTTTTTGTTTTATTCATCTTGTATAACTCACTTGTATCAGTTTTATTTTAACAAAATTACTTTCCTCCTATTTTCTTTGTGGTCATTGTCTCCATTCAAATGAAGTGATAAGGAAATTTCAGTAAAATAGGAAATGCGAAATGCCTTCGCGTAAAAAGATAGAAGCTGTGCTGTAAAAAAAGACTGTAAAATCGTTAGATAAGGGTGGATATTTTTCGAAAGAATCACTTTCGATTAATTCAGTAAAGAATCGTTAAACTGTAAAAATTACCTCATAGATTTTTTTGTAAGCAGTTTTAATAACATAAAAACATCGCTCTATATTCATTAAATATAAATGAAACTTCATTAAATTCAAAAATTAAATGATACATTTTTGTTATTTTAGGAAATTTTTATTACTAAAGCAATTTGTGGTACTACTCTTTTATTTTTCTTTTGTGTTATTATTAAAAAAAAAATCTGAAAATATATGCAAGCAATGTTTTAACAATATTGCATGTGTTTATATTATTTTATAGCTTCAGGCTATAGACGAACAGTGAGTTGCAGTTTACTAAGGTAATGTAAAGTACATATACAACAAAAATAAAACATTTTAAAGTCATTAAAACATTTAGCCCACTTGTGCTTTCCTTATGATAATCATATTTTCGAAACGATAATTTCTCCAATAAAGTATTTAAGCGGTTCCGTGGTAGCGAATTTAAAAAGTAATTGCGAAAATTGCTTTCCAATTTAAAGGATGTGCTGTTCATTTAACAGAATTTCATTCGGACCGCTGAAGTATTTTCATTAAATTCGAACGCATTAATTTACTCAAGTTCGGCAGACCACTATAAATTGTTACCTTTTCATTACATTCGCACATTCAGAGCTTCCCTAATTTTATTGAAATTATCAATGCCCATCAATTTCTGCCGGCGTTCTTCCCTTCAATCGCTCCGCCGAACAGCGAGCTGTTTATAAGCTTGTTTATATTGGAAGGGAAATTGTTTTAAATTTTAATTAAATCTTTGTATTTTGATGTTATAAATCAAAAATCTCCATTGGTATCTACAGTATATTTTTTTCTTTCCCATTATTCCAGAAAATCGTATATGTACTTATACTTTTCTGTTCTACTTGTTTACAAACCTACAATAAAAATATATATTCACTTAGAATATAGAGAGTGAAGTTGAATTTAAATATTTATTTTGTATGAAATAATACTTTAAAATGAAGTGGTCCCTAACGTTTTAAATCAAGTGGGCCTGTGGGAATTTTTCTCGCATCCCGACGGCCTAGTTTGGTCTAATATAAATATTATACATGTAACTGAAAAACTTCCAC